AATGGATGAACTATGTAATCCTAAGACCTTGTATACACCCATAATGAACAATAAAGGTAATAATAATAAATAATATAATGTAACGCAAATGAGTATACATTAATAACCAACACTAGTACATAACTAGGTAATCTAATAATATAATAATAGACATTTAGCTGGATGATTCGTGGTTTGTGTAAAACCTCATTCGTATCGTATCTCGCTAGCTAGACTACCTAATTACAGAGTTATACTCCGTTAAGAAACTGCTCATTATATGCTGAATTAGACTTTGAATATCTAGTTAGCAAATAAATAGAATAACCATACCTGTACCAATTATATCCACATATATCCACATATGATAAACACAGTAAGTGTTTATTATAAGTATGTTCTACAAATAGGTTTTTTTTAAATGGATGACAATGGAATCGTATACCCGCCGGCGCTATTGATGTATGCTGACAGAGCATCAATGAAAGAAAAGCAGACCAGTTAGCCTATCATAGCGAATTCATCTATATTAATTACAGTGGTTTACAGGGTGAAACCACGTGGATATCGACCTGATAGGGTAGCAATAGGGCTGGTAGTCTAACAATCCCTTTCCCCCTCTACAAATTAGTAGCTGTATAAATTATTTTGCAAATTAAGTTAAACCTTTAGAATAACCAGTAGCAGATTTATATATTTGCTGCCAGTAGGTTTTTCAATTATATTAATTACAAATTTTCGTCAATAAAACTATTACTTTCGGCCCCAAATTTGCCGCTCCTAAAACCCACTGCCCTAGGCTCTAACCTACGCAGCCTACTAGTAAATCTGCAACTGAAAATAATTTTGAAAACGGCATTTAATTTGATTCAGTAGTTTTTACATGATATCAGAACAAACAGACAGACAGACAATACTCATGATGTATTCAAGTAACTTGAAGCTAGTCATGCTCATTATAATGGTCTTGACTGAAGACGTGATGAGCCGGGTCGTTGAGTTTCCTAAAATATGACCGAACGCAATAATGGTTTTATTGCTCTGATTAAAACCACTCATTATTTTTAAATATCTTCTATATACGGGCATCATTTAGTTACAATTTTATTATATTATTAAATTTATAATTAGTATTTCCTAGACTTTTCTATAGGTTTCATTAGATATTAAAAATGTAAAACTCATTTTCTACTCTAATTTTTCTAGCTTTAGTAAAACCATCGTATACCATCATAGTACAGCTAAACTGGTAAAGTTATCAAATTACTATGATAAAACCAGAGCACATAGGAACAAGTCTTAGAAAATTAATCCCAAATTTCATCAAGTATCATTAATCACCAAGCAATTTAACTTTTTTATCTTTTTAGTTTAAATATTTCGATAACTAATGACTTGCCGTCATTCTTGTTTAATAAATCTCAAATTTAACGGTGAACTAATGAAAACATATGAGGAAACACCGGTTTGACGCCGTAATGAAGATAAGTGTTCAGTGCACAAACTGCATGTCAAGTACATTAATGTGGAAGGAATGTTGGTAAATTATGCATTAATCCTATTTCCCACTAGTATTATATATTCGTTGTATGTGGAATTATGTTTGTATGTATGAATATCATTTAATTTCAATTAAACATCACGCAGCAACAGGCTTTGCTTCTCTCACATACATATTCGTAACGCCAGTAACGCAGAGGTCATACTGTTGTCAACGTCAAACAATTGAGAATGTTGAGAATTGATACAAAGGCGTCAAATTCCATCCTCCTCAGGTATTCTACATCGAATAGCTAAACTAATCAGTTCAACTACCTATATTCAGACCGTTCTAGCCGCTCCCATCGCTCGTAGAGCTCACATCGCTCACAGTGAGCGTGTTTGAGCACGTATGATGCAGCGACATGCTGACGTGCCGCCGAGACGGGCGTTGTTGAAATTTCAATGGAGGTTAAGGAACTGTATTTAAACAATGCTAAGCGATAGAGGTTTTTTAATGATTAAAAGTAGAACTGGTTTTTTTTTTATATACCACAAAGGGGGCAAACAAGCATATAGCCTGTCTGATCATAAAGGTCAATCTCACCTACACTTTTAATTTACACTAACCGGGTATCAAAGAAGACAGGTCAAATAACCTATCATGACGAATTCTTCAGAAATTAATCATGATGATTTCCATGTATGTGACGTAGAGCCACAAAAACACGTTTATTTTTTATGAAAAATAAAGTGTTTATGGCAATAAAATAAATAACATATTTTTAAAAATTTTTACATCCCTACAGAATTGGAACCCGCATCTCTCCTATAAACAGACCGAACGCGTTCGAATATTCCTAAACACTTTCGACGTCATTAGGCCTGACTATAGACTTAGTATAACATACTATAAAACCTCACTAACGTAAAAAGCTAAGGACGATCTACCAGGTTAAAAAGCAACACAATTAAAACGATATTTCTTTCATATAATATTTAAGACTAGCACCCCGCCCAGGCTTCGCAAGGTGAGCATTCTTTAGATTGATATAATTTTTTATTTATGAACAGATTGAAATAAAACAAACATTAAATGTTAAGTGGAGTAAATTGCAACGCACTAGTGAAAACCGCATTTAAATCGGTTAAGCCGTTTATAAGATTAACGTGCACAAACGTACGGACAAACACAAAAATTCTAAAAATCATTGTTTTTGTTTCATAAAACTTCTCTATAATAGTTTTTCTTATATATTTTCCGTGTACAGATAGCGACCAGTTACGATTTTATTATATATATTAATTCCAGATAATTACGAATATATATTTTTTTTTATTAAATTCAATTTTTATTTTTTAGACTTCCCTTTTTTTGACATTTGCAAATTGGTAATCCAACTAACCGAAATATTCTGTTTAAATGGTACTTTTGAATTATAAAGAAATACTTTAAATATCATTTTGTAATTATTAGCATTGGTATAGCTAAGTATATCACTGCTTTGACTGGTATTCAAACACGTGTACCCCAACTCGGCAGCAATGCCGGTAGGTCGGAGCATGTTTTCACAGCAATGCAAACGTTGCCGGATATGTTAGCAGAGCATACTTTACCACAATAACCCAAAATACATAATTTGCCTCTATTTATGGAGCATAGAAATAGGCAAATGTCAGGCACAATATAGCGTCGTGTACTCTGATATCGCGTCTCCCCTACTCTGTGGTCCAAGTACATATTTACTGCAATTTGAAAATTGCGATTGAGAAATAAACCCATTTCCATTGCAATCCATATCGAGTGTTTTTTTTATGCAACTTAAGATAGCAAACAAGCTAATGGCCCAACTGATGGAAAGTAGTAACCGTCCCATATAGACATGAGCAGTACCACTGACAACAAAGTATACTGTTTCGCCCATGATACTCCGCATGCGTTGGCATTCCTGAGGACTCAGGTGTTATTCTTCTGTACCCTGTAAATTCACTTCCATATCCCACCCTTCAAACCGAAACACAGCCATGCAAACATAACTGCTTCACAGTAGAAACACGAATGGGACAGAGGTGCCCAAGCAAACGACTTCCGTACAAGTATCCCTCTGGTATACAAAGTCTCCCTTTGGCATACGTTGCCATTCATAAAAATTAAGATGTTATACCTCTATAGCCAGTAATTCCCTTGTCATATTCTACCCCATTAACCAAAATCCTACAGTGCTTCTACAGTTACTTAGCAATAGAAACACGTGTGGGATAGATGTACCCAAAACGGCGACTTTGTACAAAGTTTCTCTCTATATAATTGACAGTTTCATTACATATTCTTTGGATTGTCCAAACCGATGATTACAATCGTCTGTGTATATCGGTGTTTCGAATTATTTCACGAAGTGAAATTCCAAGAATAAACCTTTCCATAGATTCTCGAGTAACTAGGAGACTAAATAAGTATTTTCCATATTTACGCAGTCTATTATTACATCTGGAACAAAACGTTTTATAATACAGACTGCAGTGAGTAATCAACCCAAACCACAGCCCGCGGGTATAAAGCTCAAAAGGTTTTGTAAAAGGGCCATATGATTACAACGAATTGTCCTGACATTGCTTGCATTGACACTCTGTTTGTGAATTGAAATGCTGTTCGAAAATATTAAGAACGTAAATTATTTATTTAATAAATTAATTATATTTAAATTAACTGTAAACAAAGAACGTATTTCTGAACACGAAGTAAAATTAACTCAGTCCATTTAAATATTTATTATTTATTATAAAGCAGGTAAACTTAACCTATTTTATACTAAAAAAAAGTCTCTGTTGTAAGAGCGCCATCAAGAAATTTTGCCCAACAAGTAAAATGACACTTATCCACTTATTGAACAGTCTCTCCTAATGGTACAGTTCAAGTCAAAGTACCAACCCCGAATTTGATGATTTTACTGATACGTGGCTCCAAGCCCCTTTTTCAGGGAAGGAAGGGATTGTTAGTAATAGTCTAAAGGTCCCATTGCTAACAATATACTCAATCAGGTTGACCTCCAGCCGTTGGGGGGAAAGCAAATATAATAAATAATAAAAACAGCCCCATTGCTAGCAATATTCTCCCTTAGATCGTCCTACACGGAAACCGTCTTGGTTAATTATTGTTGAACTCGTCACGATGGGCTAACCAACCCGTTTTTATCTCATTTATCATCCCTCACAGGTGCCCCGTCAGTATAAACCGATAGTTCAAATGGGGTTACCATACCATTTTCATTCAATGAAAAAAAAATATCCCGCGGTCCCTCTGAAAACCATTGTGGTTGTGAATTACTGACAATTGTTCGACTGACTTTCATCTGTCATTGGTTCCCTGCCAGCGTATAGCTTTAGCGCAGGCGGGATTACCATTTCATACTTACTTTTTCATCCACCGGGAGATCAGCTCGTTTGCCACTAGTACCTACAAATAAAATACCTTTATACTGAGAATGTATCTCAGTACAAAGATTATAAAATCATTTTAAATTTAGAAAAAAAAAAGACTGAAATGCTAAAATTATGCAGTTTTATTATAACATGAAACAAAATATTCGAAAAGAAGCATAGTTAACAACAAACTATAATATATACATCGAAAATAGATCAAAGTACCTACGTAGGTATTTTTATTTAGTAAATGCTTTAGGAATGCTAACAATAATTGTGCTCAAAAGGTCACTTATATCTTAAGTCTAGGATGAATTATATAGATAATGATTACAAACTAATAAATATGCCAAAACCAACTAACAATACTAATTTAATAAAATTAATATTCTTAACACCAGTGTGCAAATTCCTATGTTTAATTATCTTTTACAATATACTTCGATTGCACTTCCACCCGATTTTTGGTACACTTACCTAATAAAATTAACAATTTGCAACAATAAAAAGGTCCATATGTTAGACAATTATTTTATTAAGCATTGTCAATTATTAGTTAATTTATTTTAACAAGCTTTACACTTATGTGCTTTACTTATTTACATCGCTAATTTCGTTTACAAGATTCAAGTCAAAATTATTTACCAAATAATACAGATACACATTATACTACGCACATTTAATATAAATTATATAAATAACCGGAATGAGCACACTGTTTCACAAGAGATTTCAATATTTCTACAATTTTTCAATTGCAATCATTTACCTGCTGAGAGGTTCTCTATTGTCGCCTCAAGTCACTTCAAAAATATAACAATTCTTCATAAAACATTAAACGTTATATTTTTTATAGGTGCAATAATGAATAAATACTGATACGTAAACATAATCTTATTTAGTTATTAACAAAATATTGCTAATAAATAATATATAAAACCATACAATTTATGGGTCGATTATAATAATAAAATACTGTTAATAAATTGCAAAATGCATTAAAAATGTAGTGACTTGCTCAATGTACTTAATAGACTTACATCTCACTGGATTATTTATCAAATATATATACTATACATTAGGTAATTCAAAAAGCAAATATAATTATTATAATCTAATTATTTGTATGAATGCAATATATATCACTACTGACACAATTAGAAAGGCAAAGAATAGCCTTTCAGCTTTACACCAATTTTAGCAATTAATTTACTTGGCGACTTCAAAAATTTATGCCTTAAGAAAAAAAGATATTCTATGTGATGTTAATATAAATATTAGTGTTGTTAATTCCAAAATTTGTTTTTCAATAGACTAGTTATTACTTTTCAAGGCTTGCTTATAGACACTAACGGTCAATTTCTGATTTGAGAATTAATAATTATTTAAAATAGACAGAAATTTATGTAACAAATAAATGGTTTCGGTATCAAATTACGAATAAGGTAGTTAAAAATGTTATAATTCTCAAATCAAAAGTCGATGTAAAGACTAAGAAAAGAACACATTGTTCGTTATATTTAAGTAAAACGCCTTTAGATCTGTAACAAAAAAATCCTTAACTTAATTTAGAATTCACAGTTTACTTGTGTTAAATAGAGACAAAAGTTTATAGTAACCGGTTTTTGTATCTATTCCGTAAAAGATCTGGGGTAAAGATATACGAGTATGTATGTTTTAAACTGTGCATTTAGCGCTTCATTTTGAAAAATATTTTTTAATCAAAGTACGCAAGGATCAACACAACATAATGCCGCCCACAGCATAAGACGTTGCCACTCTCGTAGAATAACATACAAACATATAGATACATAAATGGAGAAATCTTGCGTAAATGTCATGCGAACTGTTTCCGCCAAAATACATGTCACAAATACATGTTTTTCGGTAGATAATTTTTCTGATCAAAAAATAGGTGGCGAAAACAAGTGAGACAAGATACCTAATTAGTTATACAAAACTCTTTCAACATAACTGAATTTTAATTCACATCAGTAATAGCTTCATTAACTTCTAATGTATGTTCTTATGAATATATTATTGTACTAATAGCATGCTACTTTTACGTGACTACCAAATTTGAATTATTAGAAACATATATTTACCTGTTTACTTGGTTTTTTCATCATCCTTGATCTCCTTCACTTGAGGGTTGTTTTTCCACACATAGTATGAGAGGGAGGTGGCGTATCCGAGCCACGCCAGATATGGTACCAACAGCAAGCCCGCAGTCCTATTCACGTACGCGAATGATATCGCGGTAGCTGTAGCCGCTCCGGACAGCACCGAAATCTCGATGAAGGCCTATAAACGAATTATATTCTTTTTTTTTCACATAACGATAAGAGGGCATCCTTCATATAAATTCGATTTTTGTATGCAGGATGCAAATGACAGACAAACAGCCCACTTAATGGACAGTGATTACTCTCAGCTATAGACATAGACAAAACCATGGATATTACAAGATACACAAATTTAATGAAACTTTATTACGTTGTCAATGAAAATTTTACAACTTTTCATTGTAATCTTAATTCTCTGAAATAAACAAATTGAAGCAAATTAACATATAAAATTATTAAAATCTCAAGGATAAATGTGACATACAACATAAGGAGACTCACAAAACCTCACCAGTGGGGAGAGAATACAAATAAAAAAAAAACCTCATTATTAATGTTAAATATACTTCAATTCTTTCACTTAAAAAAGCTATACAGAATAGCAAATATTTCCTAACAGCAAAAAAATGTAAGTGAGAGCGTCAACTATCACCGCTTTTTGTCGAGCTGTCGACAAAGGCAAACTGCCATCACAATCTATTGAGAGTAACTCTATATATGTATATTATACCAACTTTCATTTATTCCACTTTTAGATTTAAAATTCTACTAACCAACTTAAGATCTTTCAATCCGAAAAAGATGGGTGTCCATGCCCAATTCAGCAACAGCTGACCACCATATAGAGATAATGGTACTATAGCGCGTTCTGAAAATAGAAAAAATTATAAATTAAAAACGGTACAATTTTTCATAGGACACGTTAGAAGCAATGGGAATGTATGTAACCTACATTATTACACTTTGGAATATCATTCATAATGCATATATATATAGATATAGATATATATATTAAACTAACATTTTATAAATTATAATTTAAGAACTTTTGTCCGTGCGTGCGCGTTGCGTGTTATGTTTTTGTATTATGTAGTATATTACTATTTGCAGATGGCGCATCAAAATAAAACATACACCAGATTTTAAGTTAGACCTTCAGAATAACAACTGTGAATACTGCATTCATTTTGGTGTAGTAGTTTTAATATGATGTCGGAACAGACAGACAAAAATTAAAAATAAAATATTGTATTGGCTTTTACTACTCTTATTAAGACCCCCCTCTCCCTATATCAAGTATTTATGTACAAACAAACATCGTTTAATTACAATTTTATTATATTAGTAAGGTAGTCCCAATTATCAATCCTGCGTACCTGTCTTTCCTGTATCTAGGAAGCTTGATTTTAGATTATAAAAAAACAAATAGGGAAAGAACTTTCCATAGCACTTAATATTAATTATTTAGTGTTCAACATTACTGAAGAGAGTACATGAGAAATTTACACAAAATTTTAATGCTGACTGAACCTTTTATTTATAAAAACATCAAACAACTCATAAACCTATATTTTGACTTAATCTATAATAAAACACTAGATCACCAGACGTGAACATTTTATTACAAGTTCATTTTCAGTCCTCGAGATCACTACATATTCATTCATCCGAATATGTGATAAATTTCCATAATACTACTTCCACTAAAAAGTAATTCATCTAAGTCAGATTACGCTAATCTTATCGAATAAATCATTGTGTAAACCTTTTTCCTGTCTACATAATATATTACGTCTACATAATATATGTATAATGTAACATAATATATGTAACTAGATAGCTATGTCCACTTGTTCTAAGTTAAATAAGATAAGATATAACCTATCCGTGTACCAAATTTCATTCAAATCTGTTCAGTCGTTTCTATGTGAAAGAGTAACAAACGAACTTTCACATTTATAACAATAGTAGTAAGATGTATGTTGCTTTTTTGTATCATAATGGAATGGTAATCCCGCCTACACTATCGGTATACGCTGGCGAGGCATCAATGAAAGATGACAGCTGAGAATGTAAGTAAATAATCAAACACTATGAGTTTCCAAGGAAAACTGCGTGGAGGTCGACCAGACAAGGTATATTGCTATAAATTACGCAAATATGATTTTCACAATTTTTTTTGCATTTATAATGTAGTCTACATTATAAATCTACATATGTATATGTATATGTAGTTTGTACACCTACGATATTTAGGTAGATATTGTAGGTGTACAAACTAATGCATTCCCAATTGACGTCGGGTAGGTAGCCGATCATAAAAGTAAAAAATCAAAACCCTGAGTAACATGGATAAACATACATTAAGCTGACCTCAAAATTTATGTATATATAATAAGAGCTGGAAAATATCAATGATTGCTAAAGACTTTCATAGAATAAATAATAAACAAACTAATGATAAATGATTATCGTAGCCTATGCTGGACGGCATTCTCCTGTACATGTATATTAAATATAGAGTTTAAATTTACAACAAAACTTACCTGGTTCGTCAGCACACTCTTCCCAAACTAAATAAGATGCATATCCAATACTGCTGTACAACACAGTCCATGCTGGTGCAAAGGCATATTTTGGTGCAATCCAACTGGGTTTCTTTAAATTGTCATACCAAGCCTTGTCTTGTCCCTTACAAATCTGGCCAGCAAAGTATATACCACTGGCAAAGCCTCCAACGTTTGGCAGAATTATGGAGCCAAGTGCTGACCAGTTTGTCATGATGAATTGGCTAATAATGAACACAGGAAATTTTAATTAAAAGATTAAATATTCCATAATTATTATGTACTAGCTTTTCCTGAATATGTCCATTCTCTGGGATAAAAAAATAGCAGAGGTATTTTCTCCTTCATCACATATAGTGGGTGTATATCAAATTTCATAACCATTGGTTAAGCTGTTAAATCTCCAAGAAATAACAAACAAACTCACTTTCTCATTTACAATACTAGCTATATGTTTCACCCATGTGAGTCATCACATATTAATTCAATATAATAAAATCTATTAAGTACCCTTTTATCCTAATTTAATGCATTGTAAGACATAACTAAGAACATATTAATACTAATTGGCTGGGAGAAAAAGTAACCTATAACCATCTCCATGACCTACCCACTTCTATACATTCAGAAATTTAGATGTGAAAATGTAACAAACAAACAGCTTCACATTTATAATATTAGTTAAAGATAATTCCTGCCGAGTTAAAACCTACTTTACATAAATAATTGCAAGGTAAATTTTTTACAACCCACCAATGGATCTATACATAATTGTCAAATAATTTTAGCATGAGATGCCAGTTATAGTTTATGTATTATACAAACTTAAATAATTTTTTAGTCCTCTCAAGAATTAATTTTTTATGTAGGTGTGCATCAGACATAAAAATAAAATTGTAATATTATTAGAGAGATAAAAAGTAAACAATAAAATAGATAAAAAAATTAATAGAAATTATGATGATGAATTAGAGAAGTTACATCATGTTGTACTATTTATTCTTTATTATTTCATTCCAAATGTATTTTAACTTTCAAGTACCCAAATAAGTATAAGAACCGGACTGTAAATGGCAATAAATATGGACTAACTTAATTAGCCACTCACTGACTACTATGATACAGGCCTGTGAGCCTAGTGTAGTAATCACTGTTTAGTAAATTGTGTACCCACATTTTAGTTCAAATAAAGTTATTACTATTCAGATAAATATGTAACAATTACAAACTAATAACCTCATAATCAGAGAGATTACAATACTAGATATTAATAACAAAAATTTACAACTGAACTTTTATCCCATTATTCATTAAAATGCCAGACCTATTTTAACTTTTAAAGTGTTTTGTCATTTTTTTTTTTTGCACTAATTTCTCAATTTGAATTTGAATTCTTAGTGATAAAACACTATAATGGTTAAAACAGCTTTCTAGAATGTTTTAGATTTTATGTTAAAAGAGTTAGTCTTTATTTGCAGTAGAAAATACTGTCAATATAATCATAGTGACCAAGTACTTGGTAAATTAGTATAATTAATTTTATAAAAAAATAAATACCTCGCATTATCCAAAGTTCCAGCGGTAGTAGTAGTAGTATCGTTATTATTTTCCATTATTATAATACACCTTATTAAAAGTTATGACAACATGCACAGGAAAGTACTTACATACTAAAACTAAATTGATATACCTACTGCCAAGATCGCGTGTCTGATAAAGAATTATTAATTGGGGTAATCAACGCTGATAACAGTATTTCTTATTCCAGATTTAGCTTTTTAATATCATAGTTCACTTATCTACTTTAGATCATTACAGAAGACTACTCGTTCAGCATTGGATTTACCGACAGGTGATTTAAAACTACATGTGTATAAAAATAGAAGACAAAAACTGTAATACCATTTTAAATACGCAATTTATCTACTTCACTTTGGACTTTAAGTATGAACTACTTAAATAAACGATTAAGAAAACCTTCATAATTTAGAACTTACCTAAATATCGAAGAGTGATCAACCTTCAAGCAAGCCGGGAGTTGTACAAAACTTAAATATATAGATTTGTAAAAATATCTGAAAAACTTCCTACCTGAAAAATTTTAGCTATTCAATGAACCGACCGACTGAATAAAAATTACAAATAACAAAAAGAATAATAAAAATATCTTATTTCAGGTGATCTATAGATAAAGCGAAAGATAACGAAAACTAGTGACATCTTAAAATTGTAGTATTATAATATCACGTCATGTCATCTGACAATTATCATATGTTAAATCTATTCCGTTTAACGCATTGTTATAAATATTATCTGTATTTCGATTGTAATTTTTATAATTTTGTTCGTTTATATGGAATAGAATGGAATTATATTTCAATTGCATAGTTCAGATCCAAAAACAAACAAAATTAAAAACTGTAAAACGTACTCTGTATAACAGGGTACTGTTAAACAGAGTACGTTTAAAGCCATAAATATAATATAACGCGATCAGAGAAAAAGGAATTATTAGTAATTAAGTGAACATCCTCATTGCTAGCAATACACTCTAGCATATACATCTCCACACAGTTTCTCCTGGAAACTGTGATAACTACTTCTTGTTAAGACATTTTATCATTCCATTTTCATCCATAAAAAACGCACACATGCCTTTCTTTATGACATAGGGAGCAAAAGGGAATACAACTCGCCTGATAGTAAATGATTACCACCGCCCATAGTCACCCGAAACTACAGAGAAATTGCAGGTGCGCTGCATGCCTTAAGGAATATACTACATGAATCTACCTAAAGATGTCTACCGAAGGGGAAGGGATTGTTAGTAATGCGGACTACCAGTCCAATTGCTAGCAATATACCCTACCAGGTCGACCTCCACGTGGTCCCTCTTAAAAATCATCGTACTGAATTACAGATGTATTCGTTATGATGGGCTAACTGACCTGCCTTTTCATTCTCATCTATCATCCCTCACTGGTGCTCCGCCCGCGTATACCGTTAGCGCGGACGAGGTTACCATTCCATTGTCATTTATTAAAAAAAAAAATCTAAAAATCCCGTCTCCTGAGACCAGATAGAAGAGATAATATAAACTATAATTTGAAATATTTCATTATTAGTGAGACGACTGTTAATAATGGAGGCTAACAGCCCCATTGCTGTATACCCTGTCAGATCCGACCACTACAAAATACCATTGTGATTAATTAATTCCTAGTAATAGATATTACTTCTTACTAGTACCCTACTAACATAAACTTATATGCAGGTGGAGTTACCATTCAGTTTTCGGCCATTAAAAAAAACCATTATTCGACACTCATCGCGTTGTGATAGGCAACTTTGTAAATTAAATTTTGGATTCGATTCTCGATCCAACTAATAAAAAAAAGTACTTTTCTAAAACTTGTTTAAATGTTATCAGCTGTTCTGTGACACAGAATAAAATAATAATAGGTACTTGTGTTATCCCCAGCTATTCGCTATTTGGTTTTAATAAGACCAATACCACACAAACTTAATAAAAATACTGTAATAAACTGAGAATCCATATTAGTTTCAACTCACCACGATTCTCCTGGAAATCATCTAGAAAAAACCTTTTATTTGAGATAAGCCTGCCTTTGTACATTATGTTTCAAATTAAATATTCTTATCACTATGTTTGTGTAAAATAAAGAATCGTCTTGATTATTTCCAAGTAGATTCGCCATGGATAGCTTATCTCACTTAACTTCGTCTTCGTTGTTTCATCTTGACAATACCATTTTATTTATCATTAATTACTCACAAGTAATATTAACATAATTCAACACTTATCAAAAACACAAATTAACAACATTTATTAAGTAATATTTGATTTTTGATGGGATATTGCATAATTTATTGCAAGATACGCTATCAGAAGACTTGTGTCACTTGACTCCTCCCTCAGAGAGCAAAATTCATCTAATCATTATAGGTTAATAATGTAAGTGACCTCCAAATAGAATATACAATAAAAGATATTCTTGTTACACAAATAGTATATTTACATGAAAATATATACATTTGAATTACATTACTTTGTTCTCTTCAGTTTATTTAACTCGCCCTGTTGTATTGATGCCTCCTTGTATATTTGTTTCACCTTCTCCCTCCTTATGTTATCGCTGTAAATATAAATAAAGTTTATTTAACACTGCATATTGAATTCCTTTTATTTTCCACTTATAGGTCCACTCAATAAAAAAATCTTTTTGAAAAACAAATCTTTTTTTGTAACTATAGTCTGTCTAATTACTTAAATGACACCAACTATCCGCAACAATTGGTTTATAGCTGCAGTACCTCAGTGACTGCAAATTCTGCTATTATTATGAATGCAAAAAATTATAACGATGAATAGATGTTTGTTACTCTTTCATACAAAAACTACTAAAAGGATTCATATGAAATCTGTACATAGATAAGTTATATCCTAAGTTAAAAGATGGTATACTTTATATAATGACTTAAGCTGATAAAGCCGCGAGATACAGGTAATAGATAAATAAGTAAACAACGAAAAATAGGTTATATACCATATTAATAAAACATATTATTATGAAAATTCCATTCATACCTCTGAATCTTTTGCTTGATCTTCACTGATGCTATATACGCCTTATCTCGTCTTATCTCCCTCAGAGCACCTTTCATCTCTTTCTTATACTTAGTCTTCAGCCGTCTCCTCTCAGCTTCCTCCCTGGATAGTTTTGAGCTCTTACTGCCAGTAAAGCTGTAGAGAAATGATATGAAAAAATAATATTTTAATGTAACAATTGTCTACTGCAACTCGCGCTCAAGTGGCCGAGGCGCGCAGTCAGCTAGTACTCGCATAACTGCCGCTATCGATTAACGGTCCCAAATACTCCCGAAACTAGTCGAGCTTCCTTGATCTACGTAAGTTAAACCCGGTAATTATTACATCAAAATATACAATCTGTTCATCTTCACGAAAAGTTCATCAGAATTTCATTCACATGGATGTAAGTCAATGCCAAATAATATACGAATATATTAAATATAACAACACCACTGATCATTTTATTGTCTACAGTTGAAAATAGGCTTAGACCGGCAAAATATCACAAAACCTAATTCAATTCACTAATCATTCCGTACCGCCAGTCATGGCTTACAGAATCAAAACGTTTTTTAAGGCCGTGTTTGAAAGAGCGATTAAAATGTTTTAAGTCCGTGTTTGAAAAAATGATTAGTTTCCACCAATTAAAATGATAAAATAAGGATCCAGATTTATAATAAAATACAATATCTATATATATATAATATATATATATATATATATATATATATATATATATATATATATATATATATATTAAAATTTTAAAGGGAAATCCTTATAAGCAAACGCGGCGTAGATGCGGTATGCTAAAAAACCATAGCATTTAATATCTGTAATCACGGTCCTAGATAACGTCCCTCGTGGCACCGTCACAGGCTTAGCAGACCGAGGCGTGCAGTCAAGCTCGCGCTCACGTTTACAGCTGGTCATGATTAAGGGTCTCGAATTGATCCCGAAACTAGTCGAGCTTTTTCGATCTAATTATACGTAAGTTAAACCGGTAATTATTTCTATAAAATATAATATGTACTTACGAAAATTTTAATATGTTCTGAATAGTTTAGGTTAATAATATGTTATAGAAACTTACATTTCTTGTATATCTGGTTCATACAGTCTCAGAGCTTTAGGTTTATGTTTCTCTGTGGTCATCGGTGTGTATGTCTTGACCTCCAAACTTTCTTTCATGTACTGCATTATTTTAGTCACTATACAGACTACTTTCTTAGGGTACAGCTCAAAATCAATACGACCCAATAACCGTATATGTGGTTCAAAGATACATTGCTGTGCTTCTAAATCATTGAAATTATCAAAAAACTCCTTTAACATTGTAGAACTAACTAGCAAACACTTTATTTTAAAATTGTTATCAATGCTCTTTAATACTAAATCCTTAGCAGCCATTTTGCTCTCAACCTCCATTGTGGAACAATCATGTTCTAAATTCAAAATTTTTACATCTTTATGGAAACGAAATGGAGGGATAACTTGCACTGGATATAAAATGGAGGTATTTGCGCACAAGTATAATACACCTCGAAGAAAATTTATAGCTGATGGTACCAATCTCTTTGAAAGAACTGTGTATTCTAAAATTAAGGCTGTAATATACAGACCTCTAGATATCGAATATGCATCATTAAACCTACAGTTTGTTAATATTTCAGACATAAAAATCAAAGAGGGCGTTGTTACAGGATGCCTGAAATCTGAAGTTGGATATAGCAATGACACTAACTTAAAAAATATTAAAGTATCTAAATCAGGCACTAATCTGTGTCTCTTTTTGAAATTATCATGTTTCTCTTTAATTAGCTCAACTAAAAACTTCTTAGTGGAGACTTTATTAGTTTTTGATAAGTCGTAAAAGAATGGTGCTAATTTGTCAAATATTAAAAATGATTTAATGATTTCTCCTTCATTCTTTAGACCAATAAACAAGTCATTGATATATTGGAGTAAGTGAGCAAATAATCTGCTAAGCAATTCCTTATTATTTTCAGCTAAACTTGGGTCATAACTCTTTATAAGTTTCTGCAAAGCAGATGCTTGCTGCGATGGAGTCTTCTCTGACAGTAACTCCTGAAAATATTATAAAAGATTTATTTATATTCTTTTGTAAAATCACTTACAATATATATATACATACATAAACATGTGGATACTTACATAAATTTATATAAACATAGAATAACTATTATACATATAAATAACTCAACTGTCAATTGTTTTGTAAAATAATTTTGTTGTTTGAGGTTTGAAGGCATGATATATAAGTGCAAATGGAATTACATAATTATTATTATTATTGATTAATAAGTAATATTCATTAAAAAGAATTAAAACATTATAACAGCAAAAGCCAAATCAATGTTATTAATCTAGTATGCTAACATACAAAGTTATAATAAATGTTTTTAAACCAACTCTAGATATTTCTGAGCCGCTTCTAATATCTTTGGCAGGCTACTATTAAATATATCAATGATGTTTATAATATTATTTAATAAATGTATTGACTTGATAACCAAAACCCAAACCCAATAAAATAAGGCAAAAATAGGTTGCAGTCACTTCTGTGTGTTAAAAAAATTTGTTTAAGTCAATTTTTTTTTTTACACTAATATAAATTGTGTTAAAAAAATTTGTTTAAGTCATTTTTTTTTTACACTAATATAAATACCAATTGAGAAAGAAAACATTTCGGAAACATGTGGAGTGAGGAGTACCCACATCACTTATTATGTCATAACCAATTTTAAAACAACCTAACTATAAATTAAAACATTTCTGTAATATTTTAAATACTATATGTGTTATTATAACCTGAACATGATGTGAACTTATATTGACAGGAAAAAAACAAAAGAAAAATCAAATTACCTTCAAATTATCACCTTCAGCTAATTTAAGGTCAAAGAATGAACTGATTTTTTCATCAACGTCTTTCATCATAACTTCATCCTCGCTTTCCTCATCTGACTCTTTTAAATCTTTAAAATCATCTATCATTTCTTTTTCAGACTGTTCATTATCTTCTACATCAGAATCTTCTCCATCTGAACTTTCTTCAAACCTATTTTTCGGCACTATTTTGCCTTTAATATTATTTGCAAAATTTTTGCTAGCCTCTTGTTGATCTGCAGATTCTTCATCAACTGAGCTTCCTTTAGAATTACTTTCCCTTTGTAACAACTTTTGATCTTTCTTTTTTTGTGTTTCAATTTGACTACTTTCTTTATCATCAGATTCTACTTCGTCATTTGAATTGTCATCAGAATCACCATCCTCAGAATTCTTTATATGGAGTAACCCATTTTTATTCATACCTATTTTTCCTCGTTTCATTTCATCTTTTGTAAAATTTTCTTCCCCATTAGTTTTACTTTTATTATCGCTTTCATCTTCAGTCTTGACATCATCTTCATCGTCATCACTATCATCTTCTTCTTCTTCTTCATTATCATCTTCATCATCATCATTATCTTCAGACGAAGTGTCTGATATACCATCATCAAATTTAGGTTTCGCATTTGGCACTGAAATAAACATTTTAATTCAAATATCTTACTAATATAATAAAATTGTAACTGAATGATATCTGTACATGGGAGATATTTAAGAAAAATAATATGAGAGAAACTTAATAAGATTAATATAAGTCTTATTAAGATAACTTTATTCATTAACAACTTTAAAAGGGAAGCGGTTCTCAATTTAACCATATTTTTCAGTTTAATAGTAAATGCCTGAAATATTGAAGGGTGAAACAATTATATGACTCCACCGTGAGGTATGTGGATGGTTGCACATTAACATCATTCTATATCATCATTTGGTACTTTAAAAATATTCAATTAGTCTTTACCTGAATAATCTTTGAGGATTTTCTCAGGCACTAAGGGCTTTCCATCTTTATCATATGCTAACATAAATTCTTTTTCATCTTCTAGCTCAAAATTGTCATCCAGATCATCTGCTGACCTAGAAATGTGTCCATATAATTAACAATTCAATTATATCTATGACATTACAATCATAGATCCAGAGTAATTTCCAGACTAGAAAATTTTAGACTAGAAGCTTTAGACAACTAGCACCTATTTATATTAAATGTGGCAAGAACTGAGCCTACAACTAACCCTGGGGATAATTTCAATTATTAGCAATATTAACCCATCAGTGGAAAGTAAGTCGAAATTCCAAAATGACAGATGTTTTTAACATCACTTAAATTAATAGTCGGCTATTAGATTTTATAAGTTATGGTAGTAAATCATTGGACCAGACAATGGTATCATCTCTTCTTTTTAATTATAATAAAGTCAGAATGAAGAACTTATAGAAGTTCTTAGAATATACAATCATAGCAAATTTTTAACTACATTATTGTTTAATACTTACCTGTGTTTTCCAGCAGATTTTTGAATGGCTGGCGCCGACAACTCAAAATCGCCAAGCATCCTTTGTTGCCTTTCTCTTTCCCACTGTTCCATTTTTTCTTTTTCTTCTTTAGCTTGTTTCTCATCAGTTTTCAACCCATCTGAAGGCTAAAATTAAATTCAACAATATATAAATTTTTAGATAAACACAAACAATATATTTTATGTAGACAACAAACATCACTATGGTTTACTGCATTTTTAATAGACAAAATACAGAACCTAGCAATTACAATTCAAAATCAAAATCAATACATATTATCACAATTTTTACTTACAGTGCCTCTTTTTTCAAACTTCAATTCCCGCATCATTTTATCATAATCCTGATTCTTCTTCTCTGCTTGACTCAACAATTTATCTATTATAGACTCATTCTCCACTCTAGCTTTCTTAAATACAACTGGTTGTAAATCTTTCCATTCATTATCTAATTTCTCTGTTAAGTCTAAAGTCTGTTCTTTCTCCTTTTGTTTCTCTGCTTTTCTCTTCTTAGATTCTGCTATGAGTTGTTCTATGAGATCTTTATGGGATTTAGCACCATCTTTTAAATCCGTCTTTGAAAGGATTCCACCACCAAAATGCCCTTCTGATACAAAATCATCTGAAAACCAAATCAATATATATACCTCTAAATAATAATAATAATATTTAATAATGAAAATTGTACTACTATATAACTAGGAAGAGCAAACTTTCAGTTGTTTAAGAAGTTTCAGATCTGGTTTTTTTATATGATGACAGCATTCATATCAAAATCAGAACAATAGATAGAGAACAATGCTTTATTAGTATAATAATTTTTGGCAATATTAAGTTCATTATTTGAACATAAAGTTCTTATTTTCAAATATGAAAATAAAGTTTAAATTTAATTTAAGTAAAAAAATAAAGTTATGTGAAATTGGGTGAAGTAACCCAAACTTAAGAATTCATTAAATGTAAATAGTGTAACTGTAAAATTTGCATACCATCTAGGCCTCCAAATTTTCCTCCATCTTCATTTTCATCATCAGAAGATCTAGGATCATCAAATTTCTCAATTTGTTCTAGTGTTTGCCCCCTAAAACATTTTAAAATAAAAAAAAATAATAATAAAATCCCTTAGATTTTTAACATGACTATTTTTATTAATTAACTAAATAGATACTATCATATAGCTGATTTTCATATATATAAGTTCAGTCACTAGTCAAGTACATTTTTTTTATTTTTAATAATCTTTTTTACCTTCTATTAAATTTTTTAATAATTTCTTCTATTAATGTATAAACCATTACTTATAAGGCAAACTAAAACCACCTTCTATACCTGTAGCTTTTAAATTTCTCAATCTATTTTCTTTTGTAATAAAGTATCTAAATAAATACATTATTTTACCTATGAGTTAAAATTTCATCATCAGCCAGATTATAAATACTCTTTTTACTATGTTGTCGAGCCCTTTCTGCAGCAAACCTGGCAACCATGCGATCTTCAGCAGACAGGTGATTATTCTTTTCTCCGATACGACGATCTATGAAGGTATTTGTCTTATTCATCAGTCGCATTTCAGTACCAAGAGTCTCTTTTCTCTAATATAAAAAAAAAAAATTACATAAGTTGCTTATGTCATGTTTATTAAATGTTTACAATTACATTTATTTTATTCTGTACTTTATTAGGGAAACACAGTTCCTAGAACATATAATGTAAATAATTAATATAACTATAAAATAAATCAGGAAAGTTTCCACAAAGAACTGACACATGAAATAAATGGGAGTAAATAATAAATATGAAAAAAGTTTATGACACAACAAAAAGAGGAATATGAGAATAACAACAAAACATACATACATATATATCTGTCACACCTGTCTCCCATTAGAGTAGGCAAAAACAATGGAACGCCAGAAACGACAAAAATAAGGTTTTTTAATTAAAATAAATTTGAAAAAAAAATCTCTCTAACATGTATCTTATATAAGATTATACCTGCCCCGAATATAACCAAATATATTTATGAGAAAGGTTGTCAGGATATTTACTACTTACGCATGGAAATAATTTACGATGAGGGCGATGAAAAAATTATTGGTATTATTACTCTGATATTATGTTTCTTATAATCACACATTCTCAAATCATAGAAAATAATAGCATGTGTATTGTATGTAGAACTTACTTTTTTAATAGCCTTAGCACGTGATACACCAGGTAAGCCTTTATCATGTTTAGACTTTTTACCTAAAACTTTAATTTTTTCTCTGTTTATGTGTACTTCGAAAGGATTTAACTTTTTTTTGTTGATTTCCTTCTCTCTTCTCTTAGCATGGACAGTATCTGCCAATTTAGAATTCCTTTTATTTTTTGCCTTAGCCATTTTTTTATTTAATTAAGGATTTAATTTAATTATTGAAATAAAATAACACATAAGTAGTATTTATCCAAAATTAGAAAAATTAGGTTAGATATGTATTTGAACTCGCTAAATCAATCGACAAGACACAAAATCGCAAGAAACTAAAACTCAGTGTTGGCAGATACTATTCTCTATTTTTCCTCAAATAAATATTTTCACCCAAATTGATACGATTTTTACTTTTTCTTTTCAGTACAAGCTTTTGTCAGTTTTCGCTAGCTATATTTTACTAAGTACTATTACAAAATACGAATGGTGAAGAAAACGGTTATATGCGCTCTATTATTATCTTATTTATACCAGGTCCCTTCAATACTATATTATACGCTACTATATATGGTTTACATATTCTAAAACTTCCTATAAAATATGAAGAATTCTCCACATTGTTTTTATTTATTTGTTTTTCTAAAAATTCCTCTAAAATTTATTTTCTTGTATTTACCCAAAATAGTGGTAAAAAATCAATTGGCAATACTGCCAAAAATAATGTCACACGCCACCGGCTGAATGATATCGACACGTGGTTTAGACAGTTGACATCTTAACAATAACAGCACAGATCATAGACACAAAGATTTTGATTGTCATTTACCATATACCTATTTCACTACAAGCCATGTCACTTTAAATAAAAAATGTTCCTATGAAGTCTATACATTTAATAATCAATTCAGAACTACCATATACAGGCTTCCCCGACTAATACGTAAATATACCGATATCAAAATAATCACAATACAGTATTACTCACAATAGTTATCAATAAATTTGTGCAATAATTATTTAATTTATAACGGTTTAAGCTAATCTCATTACATTACCACCTTTCAATATAAAAATTAATTTACATATCATCATATCAGCCTTTAACTGTCCGCTGCTAAACATAAGCCTCCTATTAGAAATAGGTTTATTTTCATACAGCTGTAAACTACTGGCCGGATGTGATTTAAAAAGATATGTTTTTTTTTAATTAAGTTGACACACTCTTAGAAATAATCTATACTTTTTTTCTTAACTTTTTATATTGTGTTTATCCTAATCCCTTCCACTACGGAAATATTAGCTGATATCTAGTTAAATATTAACACCTCCCCCTTAAGGAGTTTTGCCAGTAGCTACTATCCTTGGCAGGTGGATTGGCAACGGTAGTTAGGCTTTAGAGATGTTTTAAGAGGGACGCTGCTTGGCAACTGAGTTTGCAACTCTCGCCCTCCCTTAGTTGCCTCTTATGACACCCACGAAAAAGGAAGGATTGGGCTATTCTATACCGAGATTACATGGCAATTTATATTATATGTAATTGTATTAATATTATACAAGTAGGATCATATCTTTTGCATGTATATATATCATATATATCCCTGACTGTTCTCTAAATAGGAATGCATATTCTTTTTCAGATGCTGTTTGTCTCAGTGCAAAATAACAGTCATTGTATGTATTGAAAATTTGGAATACTTATCTACAAAAATTTTGAAAAAGCTTTTCAAGGATAACGACCCATCACAAGTGTGAATAATATTATAATTAGAAAAATTTAGAGTATGAATTAGCTAAATCTTTTATGACACCTGTCGGTATTTTGAATAGAGACGCAAATATACGGTTGCAGAAAATCGTGAATATTCATTTATTTTGTTTTATTGGTTAAACATAGTAACATAAATTCATTTAACAAGTTTCGTTATTATAACGATACTGTCTGCTCTTAAAGAACGTAACGAGTGAGCGATTACTTACTCTGTGATCATAAGAGCACGGAGAACATTTTAGACTTTATAGTAACTGACTAGATATCGTAATTACACCTATTTACTATAACGATGACTTGTGTTTTAACACTTAAAAACTTGTTTAAATACGTTTTTACTGGAAACTATAAAAATTATATATTGTATATCAATATCATATTAATTATGTAATTCAAACCTCAGAATATTTCTGATTCAAACTAAATACAAAAAAAAAAAACAATTCGTAAGCCGAACGTATCCGAACGATACTTCGGATATTTCCGTAGGAACGCCGTGTGCATCTAGTGCGTAGGTATATTATTGTGTGGCTCCTTTGCTTATTAAAGAAATACTGACAATCGGAATCTAATCTACTAAACTGAAGAACATGTCAGACGTTAGTAAAAAAGAACTTGAAAAAGAGATTGCAAGTGAGTAAAATATTTTCTGTTTAAGCTGAATATATTTTCTGGTCTAAAATTTTTTTTGCATTAAGAAAACTGCTTGGTTAACATCTGCCCGGGGGCCGCGTAATGGCTTCCTATAGTGAAGTCTTGCAGAACTTGGAATTTTCGTAACTTGTAATTCAAATATCTCTGATAGTATGTTATTTATGCCAAAATGTTTTAAGTGAAAGTTGTTTGGACACATTGTGCGGATCTCTCGGCGATATTGGCTTCATTTAATATTTTGTAATTACGTCGGTTCACTGGTGGTTTATTTTTATGCTCCGCGTAGGAATGCTCCACGTATGAAACTCTGTAATAGCTGAACTTTATAATAATAAAAATTTGTACAACAGTGCGCATAATGTTTTAGAATAAGTTTTACTTGAAACATTTTTTAAAAAATTAAACGCTTATTAAGAAAATGAATAATTTCTATAGTAATGTTTCCATGTTTTGTCAATTTTCATACCGCCATTGTTAAATACGTTCAGAAACGCATCGTAGCCAGTTCAAGCGATTTAGATTGTTGTTATGATTCACCATATTATGAATACGTCTATATATTTCTATGCTCATCATAAAGTGATAGTAGGTAGTAATTAGATATTTTAAATAGTAATGCCACATTTATGCCACGATATTCAAAATATCACGTACATATGTTTTGCTTATGATGGAAATTTCTTAAACAAGGTTAAAGATGCAAATGGTTGCAACAGCAAAAAATTTCCTGTCATTTTTATTTTTGACTATTTACATTTCTTTGTGCTGCCTTCTCAGGAATTTAAGAACTAAACTTACTATTTTTAGGGTTCCGTCATCGTTTCCTTCAAAGGAAAAACAGACGGTTAAAAATAAAAATGACAGGAAATTTTTTGCTGTTGCAACCACTTCGCTGTCCATCCGTCCGTCCGTTCGTACCATTTATGTCGCATATTTTGACATTTGCAGAGGAAATTAAAACCTAGCTGGGTACTTCCCGCTGACCTAGAATCATGAAAGGCAAGAAGCAATGTCATGTAGCACAAGTAAAGGAAAAGATCCGATTTTTAAAACAAGATTTTTTATAACTTGATGATTTTATACAGAACCCTCGTTACGCGAGTGTGTCTCGTACTTTACCGGTTTTTTTTGCAACTAGATTGAGTTGTTTGTCACAGAAATATTAATTTAATGTATTACGCTTTAAGGAAAGGCGATGATCGCTACATAATATTTTTTTTTTACAATCATCGCAAACTGTATGGTGTTTGGTCTTTTTTTTTTTATACCACTAAGGTGGCAAACAAGCATACGGCCCACCTGATGGTAAGTGGTTACCGTAGCCTATGAACACATTACACGTGTGTTGCCGACCCTGATAAAACCTCTTTACCCCTCTTTTGAAGAACCCCATACTGTAGTCTCGTGGGAAAACTTTGGTTGGCAGGGAGCTCATTCCACAACCTGAGTGTTCGTGGGAGGAAACATCTCTGAAACCGCGCAGTACAAGACCATTGAGGCTGCAGGACATGAGGATGAACTCCCTGTCAATGGCGAGCCGTACAATGGTAGAAAGTGGCTGTAGGCATCATATTGAACAATTCCTCTGAGCACAATCCATTGTACAGGCAGTAGAACACGCAGAGTGAGGCAAAATCTCTCCTAAGACTTAAGGTTTTGATACCGCTTGTGAGCCTGGAAACATCGACAATTCTCATAGATTCATCATCTCTTATGGAGTACCTATGCAATGTTTGTAGGTACTAAACCTAATATTTTAATTTCGTGAAATTACTATTTTATTAATCATCATAAACTAAAATAATAATAACTTTAACTAACTTACTATTAGAAAATTAGTAGTTTTAGATCATAGTTATTAATTTCAATTGTTATTTTAAAGATATTAAATTTTAAACATCTAAAAATAGGAAGCTCTCAGTTTGTTAAAAATTTTTTTGTGGCAATAAGTTCTATTCTGAGGCGCCATTTTTTTAAAACTACCTATCTCTAAATTTAATATTTTAATTTGATATCACAGCGTAATTTTTATTCTAAACACCAATATGAACAAAATTTCTAATTTATTTAAGTCAAAATTATTGCAAATTAAATTTATGCTGGTCCATAAAAAATAACTTTGGGAAACAATCAAAATATAAGGTAAGAGTGATTTAAAGATTTATGGAGAGCCAGACTTGACCTCATTGGAGTCAATGGGAGAAATGGTGTCTCAGACACCACACCATTTCTCTAAACCAGTCTCGAAATTCCAAATTTCATTTTTATGTCACATAAAAATTTATTTAAGAATGAAATTTCAAAAAAACTTTACATCAAAATTTTTAACAATTTTATTTTGGTCTATAAAACAATAATTTTGCTAAACTATCATATTAAAATATAAGATTAAAGTACTACATCCCTCAAAAGGACATTTTGAAAATTTTATACCCAGATTAGGCCAACAGGAAAAAATCTGAATAATATTAAAATCTGATCCTTAAATTACAAACTGCTGTTTGAAATTATTTGAATTATAAATTACAGTCATTTTCTAAAAATTGATATTCTGCCAAAACCCTTAAACAGATTTTCAAAATTCCTACACAAAATTATAACTCATGCATTTTTCTTAATATGTGTGTTTAATTTTAAATGTGGAATTCCAGGTGTAATCATCATGGTGGACTAACTAACCTAACTTTTCATTCCCACCTATCATCATGGCAGCCCCGCCTACGCTATCGGTATATACAGGTGGGGCTCCAGTGAAGGGTGATACGTGAGGATACTAGCAGGTCAATTGGCTAACGTGACAAATACATAGGGCATCATATGAGCATTACATGCCATCTATTCATAACATCTTTTTTTCTCAGAGATTCTCAAAAATGCAGATCTCGCTAAAACATCTACCAACAAAGTAATACAAAAGCTTGAAGAGGTATTTGGGGTAGAACTGGCTGAAAAAAAGAAGATGATAGATCAAATGGTGACAGAGTATTTGCAAGCGAATGGCTCCGAGGATGAAAATGAGGATGATGAGGAGGAAGAGGTAAAATATTTTGGAATACTTACAAATACATAGATCCCGTTAATGACCAAGCATAGTATATCCTACTAATACTATGAATGTGAATAATATTATATGTTTTTAATCTTTAATTTCTTTATAAATATGTATTTTATGTAATGAATTAAATTTGGTACAGGGGTATGTTATATCCTAATTTACCACTTTACATACTAATATTCCAATGTGGAAAACATGTTTACAATCATAATAGCATTATAGAAGCTAATTTATTACTAAAACGCTCATAATTTTTAATTTAATAAAGACAATAGAATTACAAATACTTTTAAATCCTAATTTTAATTCCATATTAAAAAGGAACTCATGTTCGACTTCGTCCGCCCATCTGTCACATCCTATTGCAAAAATCACATACTATCTTATTGCAATTATAATTAATGTTATTAGACATCTATACTATATGAAACAAAAAAATATTTTTCTACATTGATAAAATTATATCTATTTCCCAATTAAATTATCGCGTAAATAAAACAAAAGCCCATTTAAACAGCATTTTAAGTACGGAACCCTCACTAAGAAGTTTAAATAGTAGTTAGCCAGTTTATCTGATAACTCATTATTAATATTGTAATACCACAATATGGGAAGGTTAGCTGCTAAAAAGAAGTAAAAGAAGACAATAATGACAAAAAAAAATTAAAAAATTACTGATGTTTGTTAACTAAAGGCACTTAATATTTATGATTCTCAAATGAATTTAAAATAGTAACGATTAAAAAATATTTTGTAGGAAGAAGAGGAGGAAGAAGTAAAACCAAAGAAATCAACCAAACGTGCTGCGCCCGTCTCCAAAAGGTCCAAGAAGAAACGCAAAAATTCCTCCGATGAAGATGATGATGAAGATGAAAAGAAAGATAATAAAAAGGTCAATATTTTTTTGTATAGGGTTGTCATGGCACTATAAGAATAAAAAGACTTAGTAGTAGTCACACACATACTTTCATGCACAACATGTACACTTGTTTCCATCAAACCGTGCATAGATTGAGGTGTCACAAATTTATTCATATTTAATAAATAATTTTATGGTATATGGGACTTACGGGACATATGTGACAGTGAGCGAGACGTATGCACTGCAATGGCTGTTGCTTGCCCTGTCTTAATTAGATGGACACGAGTTAGATGCGAGCCATCATTACCTTAATGCAGTTTTTATTTGGTGGAGGTGACAGGCATTACCACAAAAAACGACTATAATTTATTTGTTGATACTGTAACTTATATGGCATCAACAAAAGTATGATATGATACAAATGTATAATAATAGAGAGATAAAACCATTCAATATTGAAATAGACATAATTAGACATTGAATAAGATAAGGTTGTGGGTAGTTATAAATATGTTCAAGAATATGGGTGTAAGTCTGAAATGTTTGTTATTGTTAATAATGTGTGTATTGTATTTTAGGGGGGAAGGCGTCGCAAAGGCAAAGGTAGTGGCTACACCCGCGCATACAAATTGTCGCCCGCACTGGCTGCGCTCATGGACGCCGAGGAAATGCCGAGGCATGAAGTGGTCAAGCGTGTATGGGCTATCATCAAAGAGAAGAAGCTTTATGACCCCAACAACCGCCAGTTCGCTATCTGCGACGATGCACTGTACAAAGTGATTGGGACCAAGCGCTTCCGTATCTTCGGCATGATGAAGTATCTCAAGACACACTTTATTGATGAGTAAATTTCGTTCTAGATCTAGTTTATCGATTGATGTGGTTTTATGAATTAAAAGTAAAGTCAGTGTTTGATCTGTGACTTGAATGATATAAAATGAGCATAATTAAATAAAATGTCAAAAATGAAAATTAAGACTCAGATGCCCTTTGGATAAGAATGACAATGACAATGGCGTGATTTTTTAAAGTTTGTGGTTTTTGATTATTTGATAATAGATGTTTATGATCTATTAATATGGAGTGAAAAATATCATTTACTTTTTTTTTTTTCTTAATAGTGTATTTTCAACCGATTAAAAAAAAGGAGGTTCTCAATTCGGTTGTATTTTTTTTTCATGTTTATTACCTCATCCTGTCAGTTGTAAACCAATTTGGAAAACAAATTGGACCCAAATTTTATCAAAATCAGTTTATTAGTTTAGATGTTAAATTAAAAATAATTTAGTAATAAAATAATGGTTTTGCCACAATAGAAGTCAGGTTTCTCTGTGAAATTCAATCTTCTCCTATCTTTTTATTGTTAGAATCATCAAAAGTCCATTAGGTACAGCTTGATTTGCATTCTGGATGTATCACAGAATAACAGCAATAAAATTCATTAAACTACATATCATACCATTGTGATTTTTATTCGAGAAGTCCTGCATTTGAGTTTAAAAATCAAGAATTTCATTTGTAAGGGCATTTTCTATAGTATTATGGTAATGTAAATTACTGTTTGGCTACGACTCTGGGCTAAGCGGGAAGCTAATATAACACAGCATATAAAAAAGTTTCAAAATGTACAGAAGTAAATTTTAAACTTGGGTGACACATATATTAAACATACTATCGGGACTTAACGCGACTTTAGTCCTGTCGTGACCATGTCGGCTATAAAAATCAGGTTGTAGGTAAAATTTACCTACAATCGCATCGCGTTAAGTGTCGATAGTGTATTTAAAATAATAGTCAATAAAGCATAACGAGTTGCTACCCTCTGCATCAAAATCTACTTATTCCTATTTGCGCTTGGCAAAGGTTGAACAATTATATAATTGAGATGTCATTCTGCCTATCCCGCAAGGGACTTAACATGATGATAGCTAGATAGGTGTTATGTATAATCGCTTATCCACGACTCATAGATTATGCCAGCCCGAAAGAAAAGCTAGTCACAGTAGATACAAGGTCGATTCTGAGATAATATTAACTAAACCTGTTGCTAAAATGAAATTTTCCATATGGTATTACAATGAAAAAGATTATTCTAAGAACTGATGGACAAAAATATCTATTTCTTTTATTATTTTAGCCGTTAATGGCCCAATCCTGTACAAACTTTCCAAGAGGAGTTTTGCCAGTAATTACCACGCTTGGCAGGCGTAGTTAAGCTTTTAAAGATGTTTTAAAAGGGGTCCGTTCTGCTGTCCATGCCTCGCCATCTTTAGTTGCCTCTTACAACACCCACGGAAAGGAAAGGGATGACCCATTCTATGCCAGGGCATACACGGATAACTTATTTACATACTTAACTATTGCTTAACGACAAACTATCAAACCTATAAAATTAACAAAAATTAATATTTTAAATATTAATTTTATTTATAGGTTTAGAGAATGGTATCTCAGACTCGATCTTATTAATTGTAATGTCAATCGATGAATTAGTATATCATGTACTTAGGTTAAGGAATCCATGAAAGAAATTTCAGTAATATAGTTATAATGTCATGAATTAAGGTTAGGACTTCCAGCGCGTGTCACCATCATTATGATCTCTATTAATTAGTATAAAAAATTGGTTCCCTTGCAATCTGGACACGCGTGGGTATTTCACTAAAACCTTAGATTTAAGTAAAAATTGCTGTGATATCTTTTAATGGATTAAAATTTGTTTCAAAATATAATAAAAAGGCAGCAATTTATGCATTAATGGAAAAAGAAGTTAATGCATTTGTTTAAATATAATTTGACTAAGTTGAATTGATTGTTACAAAGAACTCAGTGGTGCAAACAACACAGAAACAGGTTTATTTATATTTAATAATTATATGTTTAGATATAAGTATTAATACGAGAATAATGTACAATATACAGAGGTATAATGTTCATTGTTTTATAATTTGTTTCACTTCAGACTACATATTGGGGCTTAGACATTGGAGATGGTTTAGGTTATGATAAAGACTGATAGGAAAACAGACCGATATGTTGAGCTTAGTTTATTTTGTCTGTTTTCATTTAGGATATGGGATAAATAGAGCATGAATCTTTTTCATTACATTACATTTTTCCCTCTACATCTAATAAACCTTATGCAGAAATTCAGAAACAGATGATCCGTTTCCGAATTTCTACAAAGTTATTTTATTAGAACATTTTTTTTATTTTTAGGAGTAGTACAGCTATTTTCTATGTGAAATACAATATAATATTGTTCTTTTAGCGTTCTTGCCTAATATAGAGTGAATTTATTAAAAAAAAACTGGGGAATATAATATCAGACAATCGAGCTAATATCTTGCATTTTTAATATAACTTATTAGCTTGATTGTCTATATATGAGTTAGGATAAAAATAAATACCGAAAACTAAATAGAAATGATCGTTCACGATAGCAATACTGACAATGAACAATGTTAGCAATGCTATTAGAATGGAACAAACGGTGTGACGCTGCACTGCTAGGATCGTGGCTAATGACGTTTTATTTTTTAAGGCAACAATATATTATTCACATTAAAAATTATGTGTGTTGCAATAAAAAAATTACTAATTTTGTTAAATGCTGTTAGTAAATGTTAAAACTTCGGCTCATTAAATTTCCTATATGGCAAAGTGCAAACTGAAGTGTAGCAAATTATTTACTTATGTTTCATATCAATATTATCCACGAGTTTGAATCTAGTTGGCTAGATTTTGTAGGTTGTATTGTACTGGAGCCTGTATGGCGGACGTATAACGTAATAAAAACATAAATACATGACATTATTAAATGTACTTTTATTTAATCAGATTCCTATATTATAGATCTATCCCGTTTGATTTTAGTATTTATAAAGCTAATTAAAATATCAGTATGTTAATGTTTATATACACGTATTCCTGTTACTATACACAATACTATTTTGCTTGATATTATTAATTCGACAATACAAGGTTCATACCTCGTTCTTCAAAAAAAGGCTTAATAATAATCTATTTGATAATAATAATTTTATGTAAAAAAATTCCTCAATCGTGTAATCTTTATATAGAACCAACATTTATATGTTTTTTAACATGGGAGTAACAAACAAACACAGGAGTAAATACTATTGATTTGCAAAAAAACAATGACGTAATCAGTTTAAAACTAAGAATCTCCTTTTTTTCTCGTTTAATAAACAGGATGTAATATTTCATAGATGAGGAAAAAGCTCCTTATTCGGCAAGCAATGTCACTATGGCAACATCGATAAATCTATCAACTTATTAAAATCCTCATTTTTTTATAATTTTATTACAATGGCTTGTAACGAGAACATAATAAAAAATATGGCAAATGAAATAACTAGGAACTGCCAAGTGGCAGTAGATCTTGAATTTGTTATATACCTTATAGAACTTCTTTTATTAAATCCAAAATATGGGAAACTGTTTTCTAAAACAATAAACAGAAACAATTTGCAGTTTTTTGTTGGAGAATGTGTTGCTATGCTGAATCGTAAGTATTTATCTATCTATCTATCTATCTATCTGTGTTGTATTTTATTTCTCATCTCTTACGTATACACGTTATATTTGACCTTTCGCCTGATGGTAAACGGTGACCGTATTTTATAAACACCTGCAATACCAATGCGCTCGCGTTGTCGACCTTGAAGAAACCTCTTTACCCCTTTTTTTAAGAGCCCCATGCTGTAGTCTTTTAGAAAAACCTCAACAGGGAACTCATTCAATAACCTGAAAACATCTCTAAAACCATGTAGTACGCGACCATTTAGGCTTCAGGGTATGAGGGTGAACTCCATGTCGATGGCTAGCTGTAAGTGATCTTTCATCCTCACATATCGCCCCCCACTGATACTTCGCCAACATACACCGACAACGTTGGCAGGGGTTACCTTTCCATTACTAGCAATAAATTAAAAGAAAACTATTCATCAAGCCGGTTCCAGACCCGACTTTGTAGTAAAAAATCCAATAATACAGGTGTATTATTAGATAATTTTTTAAAACTTGTCTGGTTAAATAGTACCTATTTTTCTAATGAGTGATGATGGAATGGTAACCCCGCCTGCGCTATCGGTATATGTTAACGGAGCACTAGTGAGACATGGTAAGTGAAGATGAAAGCAAGTCTTTTTTTAAATGGGTGATAATGGAATAGTAGCACCGCCTGAGCTATCGGTATACGCTGGCGGGGCACCAGTGAGAGATGATAGGTGACGATGAAAGCAGGTCAGTTAGCCGGTCGTGAGGAATTCCGCTAGAATTAACCACAATGGTTTCCAGGGAAACCGCCTGGAGGTCGACCTGCTACAGCATATTGTTAGCAATGGGGCTAGACCATTATTAACCATCACTTTCCCCTCAGTCAGAAATATGTTGCCAGATTATATACACGCATTCTTTGGGAATAATGTAATCCCATGATCAAAATATATACCTAAACTTTAAAAATTAAACCATCTAAATATATTTCAAAGACGTTTTGCGATATATTTTACACCACATCTGCCCTTTATACGCTTTCTGTTTTTACCTAATAGTTAGCTGGTAGAGAATGCCATATGGCATTAAGTTCGCCACTTGTACAAAGTTTTATTGTGCAATAAAGTATAAATCAATAAATATTTGTATACTGTAGTGGAAACAGGAGGTTGTGTATATATACCTACTTTTGCCATTCACCTGTAGGTACTAATTGCAGGTGACGAAAGCACATCAATAAATACCTTAAAGATGCAATTCGTAATACAGAACAATTATGATAAACTACAGAAACTAATTGACAAACACTTGGACTCTATCAATAAGTGTCTTCGGCCGCTAGTTACTGAAATATTAGAAGAAGATCCTGCTCTAGAAGATGAGTCAGAATTCAAGAAATTATTTCGAAAGATATCGATTTATATAATACTTGCCAGTGGACTAGGGAATCCTGGAGTTATACTTGTTAGTAACTTATTACTAGTTATAATTATCTAAGTGCCTACTTGTGAGTAATAAATTAACCACTACTATATTAAATATTTTCTAACAAAAAAGTAAAGACGAAACCTTTAATTTTAAATTAATATTATATATCTTTACATTGTAAAAGGAAAATGGAAAAAAGAAGTTTTCTTATTAAAAAAATTCATGTGGAACTATAGAACAATAGGGGGAAAAGTAGCAACGGGTACTAGCAATGTTTAGTAATCTAGTAATAAGCCCCACCAAGTCGACCTTATTCCGGTCCCTGTAAAATAAAAACATCCTCACCTATCATCCCTGGCAAGATTACCTTATTCCATCCGATTTCAATTGTGTCAAACCCAATTATTTTGATTTAAAAACTAAACTACTAAACCAATTTTGATAAAATTTCTATGGGATCAATCAAAAAATTTTTTTTCAAATCTACAATTGACGCTGTTATGAGGTAACAAACATAAAAAAAAAATACATCCGAATTGAGAAGCTCTTTCTTTTTGAATATAGTTGTACCAACCTGCTTACCTGCTATTACGAAAAGGTTTCATTCATATGTATCTAAATCCGATTTTAATCAAGGAGGTATATTTTTACTGCGTAAATATTGACTCGTTATGAAAAATACAAATAGAAATAACACTCCTCTTATCTCAGAATAGGCTAAGTAACTAAATGAAGTGAATAATCTTGACCGGGGTTTCTTAGAAGCACAAGAATGCGAATTACAGCGATAACGTAAGCTTAGAAAATAAATGATATCTGTAATACTTGTATATATAAATCTACTCGTAGACACTGAAAGAAGGCATGGCAGCACTGGAAAGCGTTTTTTCCATGGACGATTTGCGAGTTTTCGTGTCGCTACCTCGCGGAGAGAAGTTGACACAACTGTCTGAATTGATGGAGCTAGTGTCTGGTGTGCGACTATTCAACAGAGATTGCAAGAAAGGTGGAGAAGGAATTCCAGATTGTAAGTTGCTTAATTATGGTTTGCCGGAAACAACAATCTTCTGATTTTGCAGTCCTTATTATCAGCGGCGGCTTTAGGGAGTGGCGAATAGGGCAGTTGCCCGGAGCCTCGCTCTTGTAGGGGTCTCGTGTAACAACCTAAGCAAATTTTAAACAACTAGTGAGTGGCATTTTGTCTAGTAGCAAGTCGTAAAAACTTCCTGAATTAGGTATTTTAATCGCGAATGAACAAAATTACCAACACTAAAATATACAAATAAAAAAATTGTAAAAAATATGTAAAATAAGACAGTTTTTTGAGTCAGAGGAAAATTTCCAATAATTTGATATATATATATATTTATTTGTCACTAGTACTTATTACTATTTGTCATTATTATATCACAAATACCTCAATCAAACAACCACACCTAGTTTCGCATCACATACTTTTCATGAAGGACAAAGGGCCTTGCTAAAACCTACCGCCCGTAGCCTCGCAAAGACCTACCGCCCAGAGCCTCGCAATGGGTAAGGCTGCTGCTGATTATTATTCTATAGACTGTTAGAATACCAACATTTGTTATTTTTTTTACTACAGCTACAGAATACACGCTGAATACCATAAGAATAAATAAATCTTATTCTTATACTTTACTAATTATTTTCCTTTATTTCTCCACCATATATTGTAAGTGCCTACTTAAAAATAAGTATTAAATAATGTAACGAAAAAATATAAACATGACTAAGTCTATACCATATACATTTATTTAACTTATACATGTGTCCGTTCTTTCTTTAATCTTCTATTGCTTCCATGCACGTTGTTTTCGTTGAAATCATAACACAGTACCCTTAAAATATTTTATCCAAACAAGACAACACAAGAATGACACGATATAGTTTATTCTATGATACCATCAAATAGTTTATTCGTCATCATTTATCTATAAATGTTCACGCAAAGTTATTTATGTAAATTCGTTCATTTTCTCCATATTCATCAGAACTGATCAGTACAATCTATACAGTAGTATCTTAAATGTTTTCAGTACCATTCAATCTGGTAGATGCTGGAAAAGCGTGTCTTGCGTCTCTTTCTAATGCTTTGATAAGCGTAATGCAGCGTGTGAATACACTCACCACCGCCATAGAAGACACAGTGTCGATACAAGAGGAGACCGGCAATGTTATTATTGATATAAAGCCTAGTATAGATTTAACAGAGTGAGTATAAGTATATATTTTATAGAAATATGACAGAATTAAGCACGCCTGTTGCACATCTTTGTACAAAACAAGTGTTTCCTAGCGATTACAGCATAGGTTTCTTTAAAAAGGGCATACTAAGGTTTCTTAAGGGTCAGGAACCCGCATGTGACTACCCTAGGATTACAGACCTCCGTAGGCTATGATAACCTCATTTACCATCAGAAGCCACCATAATAATGTATAACAAGTATTATAATATATATTGTATATTATAATGTATTCATATATATATAGCTTTTTCATTTACTTTTCATCCCTCACTAGTACCCCGCCAGCGTATACCGTTAGCGCAGGCGAGGTTACTATTCCATTATCATTCAATAAAATATATATATATATTTGATTATATATTAATTTTTATTTGCAATAAACCGTAAATTATAACCATTTTTTAAGATATACTAGTTTCTAGGTTCTTAAACGTCCATTCTACACATATACACTGTATAGCTTACCACGTTATATCACCATCTATAAAAATAAGTTAAGGATTTTGTCCGGTGCTAATCATGTTACGTATTATCATTTTCCAGAGAAAACTATAAGCAAATATTCGAACTGCTCGCCTTCAATCGCCAGTACGAGGTGTTTATACGGCGTTTTCTCTCTGACGTGGAGACAATGGTCTACAATGGAACACAATACGTCGAGAGAGTGCGGAATGTCTTGGAAGAACTGCATGCAGCGGTCAAGTATAAAGCAGCTGTACCGGTCGTAACGGTGTTTGTAAGTTCTTATACATTCTAAAAGACGAATAAAAACACTATGCGAAAGATCACTTTACTTAGGTACCATTTATTAAAAAATATATTATTACTATTTTTAAATATATATATCTCAAACTGTTATTATATATTTGTCATTCCTAGTGGATAGTTTAAATAAAAAATACTGAATTACTAAAAATATTTACTTAAATTAATATTAAAAAAGAAATTCTCGATGCGGAGTCCAATTCACTGTTTTAATTTTTTTTTCAGCCAATATTCACCAAACTCTGGCAAGTTTGGCGTTCTATGCAGAACGTAATGTACCTAGTCTCCACTGTTAACCGTCTGATGTCCATATTGTCGTCAATTCAAGAGCAAATGAAGATACCTTACGACATAGTCGACAAGATGCTCCAAGGGAAGTTAGTGGTGACAGATCAGGATAGAATGAGCGGCAGAGTTAGTTTAGAAGAAAAGATCTCATTGGGCTCTTTAAAAAACTATGTCGCGTATAATAATAGTATCACTGTGAAGGACAAGCATGTTCAGGTTAGTGTTTTAGAAGAAAACATTTTATCATTAATGTATGGATGAATGTTTGTTACTCTTTCAAGCACAAATTACTGACTCAAATTTGGTACACGGATAAGTTATAACCGAACATAGACATAGGATGTTTTATATACTAACTAGTTTTTATTTGCGAATTCGTCTGTGTGATCGATATGTGGTTTTAACCGGGAAATAAAAAGTATAGGCTACTTTTCCGTCTTCATGACCTATCTATACCAAAACTCATCATAATCAGTTTCAGCAGTTTAGACGTAAAAGTGTAACAAACTCACTTTCGCATTTATAATAGTAGGTAAGAATTTACTCAGGCAAAACCGTGGGATACGGCTCGTGTGTTCATAATACTTTTATTTGTAATCATAGTGGTACAAAGAGTCAAAACTTAAATTCTTATTCGTATCAATTTGTCTGTCTCTTAACACTAAATTGCTAACAAACATCATCAACCAATATATTTAATATGTCAAGCAACTATAAGTTCGTCTCCGCAACATTGTATAGAAATAAGTTCATTATGGTCGTACCATTCCTTATTGCTCGATGAAATGTGGACATATCGACATGGCATCAAATATCGACACTAAGTAAATTCTTGAGATAAGTTCTTAAAAAAGGGCATATTAAGATTCCTTCAAGGTCAGCAACAACCATATGACATCCCTACTTTTGCAAGCGTCCATAGACTTCAGTAACCGTCTACCTTCAGATAAAATCGACAATATACTTACTTGATATATCAATTAAGAGGATATTGTGTATACAGTCTCATTACTTCTGATTTATTTTTAATGATGTCAAAATTTATAATTGATTACATGCTGCATCCACGACTTCGTTTCGCGTAATATCATCATCTGATATCATCATCATCATAGCCGGATGATGATGATATCAGCCATTAGCTGTCTACTGCTGAACATAGGCCTCCCTCTTGAGGGTATTTCTAGTAGTTGCCACGCTTGGCAAGCGGATTGATAACCGCAGCTAAGTTTTGTTGATGTTTAAGAGGAACACTGCTGTCCATCCCTCAACCACTAAGTTGTCTTAGTCGCCTCTTACGACACCCACGGGAAGGGAAGGTGGCCTAGACTATGCCGGGACTACACGGCTATAGTAATCGAAAAATTAATTGTTTGAAATACAAAATAGTTTGCTTTATGGCCTAAGGATGCAGAAAGTAATTTTGTCGTGAAAACTTGATAAATAAACATTCCTGCTCTTCATAACTATAGATCTTTATTGCAGTATCTTGGTTTTTGCGCTGTTTGTTTGAGCGTTGGTGCATTAGTACCTAGCAATACGAAGGTGGGTTTAATCAAGGCTAAGGGGCAAAGATTTGGTTTCTGCAGTGTTAAAATGGCTGCCAGATTCGGCAAGGATCCACAGAGGTAAAATAAATACATGATTAAAATTATCCTAATCTTATTCTGCTTATAAATATTAACATTTTAAAATAACAAAAATGGTGAGTCTTCTATACTACCTCGATAGATGCACGCGCTGTGGAAATTATCATGTATTACGTAATAAGGACGCTAGTCCCCATTCATAATTTCAGCCGTTAACTGTTTACTATTGAACACAAGCCTTCCCCATAAGAGGAGTTTTCCCAATAATTGCCACGCTTGGTTGGTTAACGGATTAGTCCCCATTGTTAGCAATATACCCTGTCTTTTAATGGGCGGAAATGGGATGGCAATCCTACCTGCGCTGTCGGTGTACACTACCCACAGACACTGACGATGAGAGATGATAGGCGAGGATAAAAACTGGTAAGTTAAGTTACTCATCGTGACGAATTCCACAATAATTATTAACCACGGTTGTTTTCAGGGGAAACCGCGTGAAGGTTTATTTGATAGGGTATATACCTATCAGCAATATTGCTAGCAATGGTGCTGTTAGATCTTAATATAAAAAATCCCTTTCCACAATATTCCCTATTAATTCAACATCCCCCCCCCCAACCCTGGAAATTATCGAGTCACATTGCAATTACATAAAAAAGTGTCTACTTTTCTCATAAAAAAAAAACTCAATTCATAATTATATAATTACAATTGAATTTTTACTTATCTTTTCATGTGTACACTTATAATTCCGTAAATAAATATTCCCTAGGTACATATATGAAGTACTCGAATACGCCCGAAATAATCCTCATATTATCAACTTGCTAAATATTATGGACGAAGTTGAGAAAGTCAAGAACATAGATAATCTGGTCGTTAAATGTTTACCAAAAAGTAAGTACCTATAGTAGTAGCCAACAGCTTCGAGGCGGCCATATGTTTGCTTTCTATTTTCAACCGACTTCAAAAAGATGGAGGTTTTTACGTCGGTTGAATTTTTTTTATGTTTGGTACAGCATCATTCTGTTAATTGTGAACCGATTTGGAAAATTCTTTTTTATCTGAAAGGATATACTTGCAGTTTGGTCCCATAGAAATGTTATTAAAATCAGTTGGTTCAATAGTTTAGTTTTTAAATTAAAATTACTGGTTTTGCCACAACGAAACTCAGTTCTTTTTTTTTTTAAATACAGTTTTAATGTGGTATAAAAAAAAAAACATAAATACCAATCTTGTAGTAGTCTTAGTGTCGACTGATTCTTATCCTTTTACTTTTAAATATTTATATACTTATGGATTTTTTCCCACTTTCATACATTAGATTGGTACTTACAGAATATTCGTATATCAAAGCGAGATTTTTCTTATTATCACGATATATATATATATATATATATATATATATATATATATATATATATATATATATATATATATATATATATATATATATATATATATATATATATATATATATATATATATATATATATATATATATATATTATATGTCTTGTATTAATAAATTACAGTTAAAGTATTAGACAAGGATATACAGACGGAGGTCCATCCTATTGAAGAATACATAGAGAAGAACTACACTTGGGATCTTTGGGAATGGAAACGGAGGGCTTGCCAATGGGTATGTCGCGTCGTTTGCCAAATTAATAAAAAAGAATTTCTGAAGTAGTGATTTCATCCGTTATTAATTTCATCCCCATACTTTTATTCAATTCAATATTTTTCATAGCAACCAAGTATTATTATTATTACTAACTAGTTTCTACCCGTAACTTTGTACGCGTGGATTTTGTAAGTAGGTAGATAATCGCTCCTAGACGGCGTATAAGATAAAACATACACAAATGTGAAAACCGCATTCGATTTTGTGGAGTAATTTTTCGTGAAGCCGGAGCAAACATACAAACAGACAGACAAAAATTCTAAAAATTATTACGTTGACTAATATTGCTCGTGTTAAAACTACTCACATTAATATTTCATATATATTGCTCATGAACATACATTGTTTAATTACATCATGGGCGAAACTCTATACTCTGTTATGTCCATGGTAGGTACTGCTCATGTTTATAGGCGATGGTTACCACTTTCCATCAGGTGGGCTGTTAGCTTGTTTGCCATGCTAAGTCGCATAAAAAAATACAATTTTATTATAATAGTACAAGTAAGATAAGAATTAAGATTTTTTTAAACTTACGTCCAGAAATGACAAGAGATTTTGAGGCTACCGTACTAGCTGGCAAATGCAGCTGTAGAATTTGTATAGAAGTCTCAATATTTTTTAATTTTTTTTTATTCACGTAATTCCTGTATGTTCTATCGTAATACGTTCTATATTATAGTTATATTCTCATCTCGATTTCGTTTTCACCATTCGACTACCTTCTATATCCGTCTCGACTTCATTAAAAACTATTCCGGATTTTTTCTTTTTCATTTACTGATTGTTTAATGTTAGTTTACATTCGCAGGCATCGATAGTGAATTGTCAAACACACTCCACCCAAACTATATACAGTCATCTTCGCTCCGAAATTCACTGTCAGACTGTTGAACCTAGAGACAAGAGTCTGCAAACAAAAAAGGATAGTGGAATCAATACCGCCCCTAGTAATTTCTTTATTTGGGGTTTAAGGGGACAGCTGGGATACGGACAGCATTTTATGGATTTAGTTGAAAAACATTCACCAGAAAAGAAAAGAGGTAGGTAATAAGTATGTATGCTGCGGTTGTCAACCCGCCTACTGAGTGTGGCTACAGGCAAAATCCTCTTTTATGTGGGAGGCCTATGTTTAATTACGGACACTCAACAGGTGATATAATGATGAAGCAAATCCGAGAAAGCTAGCTTTGTTCGAATATGTCATAAGAAAGAATGAGGATAATAATGAGTACGAATACAAAAAAAAATGGACGGACTAGGACTAAGAATGGTCATTCTTAGTGTGATTCACTAGTGCTTTTTTAAAACTGAACATTTATCTCAGAAAAACATGAATTGAAAAATTACTAAAAACGTTGAGTCTTCTTCTTTTCCTTAATAGTAATCAGTCGCCATTTTTATAACCGTTTGTGCAAACGTCAATTATAAGAGGCTCGTAGTAGTAATTTGCTTTCCAGTTGCTGGATGGGTTAAATCTTTGATTAAGTACGTCCTTACTACATACACAGATATGTGTATGTGTTAACTGCAGAGTGCATTCATGTACTCTTCTCTAATGTTAAGTCTTCTATACTAACATGACTTGCAATATCATAAATAATACTATAATAGTAGCATTATTGTCTACTTTGATGCTGCTGTCATCTGACGAGAATAAATACGGGAGTACTAGATAGTACGGGAGATTTACAACGGAAGTAACATTACTTCCGTCATTAGAGGTAGCAGTCAGAGATTTGGTGGGCTTCGGACTTATTTTACGAGTAACTAAAGCTAAAACTGTGAACCAAAATCCTTTTTTCGTATCATAACTTGTAGGTAAATATTACATAGCATTACTGCTATTTAATATTAAATTACATTTTTTTAGCACAAGTGGTAACGACTTGTACATGGCCTTGCATAGAAAAGTCGACAACGAAGGAAAATCATGACGTGGAAGAAAATTGAATTATTTATCAGTATGTGATTAACTCCTGTATAAATTTGAATACCTAGATCTTACCGGATACAAATATCTGACTACACTCCTTTACAAAAAATAAACGGACAATATTTTTTATGAAGCTAATGTTAATTTTATATTGTAGACATAATAAACTTGCAGTTTTGTAATAAGAAAAGATTGAAAATATTTTAATTAAAATATTTATTAGCATTATGTAGCTAGACCATTGTATTTTTTAAATAATTATTTAGGTATATAATTTAAAACATTGGTAATCTATATATTGTTACCCAAACAATATATAAACCCAAACAAGCATTCTATAAACGACGCTTAATGACTATTGGCGGATATACAAAACACGGAAATAAGTATTTATGTTTCATTGTATAAAATGAAAATTGTTTTTAAGGAAAAACTCGATCTTGAGTTCATGAATTATCAGGAAACTGGAGTTTGATACACAGAAGGTATCTCAGGGGCCCTAAATAATTCCTTGTAAAAATTCAGCGACATGGATTGAAAATTTAATCAACTTTAAAACCGATTTTTCTTAACTCTTAGTATATAAATGTTTACTTATTGTAAAAAATAAATGTTTACTTTTTAGTAAAAAATATCTATCTACTTAAAAATAGTACTATTAATATTTTATAATTGGGGAGAAAGGGATTGTTAGTAATGGAGACTGAGAATCCTATTGCTAGCAATATTCCCAACCAGGTCGACCTCCTCGCGGTTCTCCCTGGAAACTATCATGGTTAATTCCTGATGAATTCATCATGATGGGCTAACTGACCTGTTTTCATTCTCATCTGTCACCCTTTCACTAGTGCTCCGCCAGCGTATCCTGTTGGCGCGGGTGGGCTGAGTTACTATACCATTTTCACACATCAAAAAAAATTTTTATAATTATATTATACATTATTTTATTATTATTGTACAGTTCATAAAATAAAATTCAATATTATACTCGTCTCTAACTTGTACAAAATTACTATCAATTTACTTGATGGAATGTGGCTATCGTCGCCTGTTGAAGAAGTAGAATAGTAAAAGTAGACATGAAGAGCATCACGGCCATCACCAAATGCACTATAACGCCCATGGTACGCCTCATTTGTTATCATTCCTGAGATTTAAGATATTGCCTTAGTACCCTGAAATTCCAGTGTCATATTCAATCCCATCATTCAACTCCAATCCAACCATTCAACAAGAAACAGCCGAGTGAGAAATTATTAAATATTTTTTAATAATAATAAACCATGAACAACATATATTTTCCGTAAATAAAGTCTTAAATCAAAAAATGGACCAGCATCCCTTTATTATAAAGCCTAATGCTATTATTTTGAATTTGGAATAATTTTTTATGCTATTGGCCTACACACATCAGCGTTGCCAGTTTGAGCATTCTTTATTATACTACGAAGGTGATATTGTTTGTCACCTGCATATGGCTTACCTGATGATTAGCCTATGAATGCCTGCAATGCCAGGAGCATTACACGAAGGTTGCCCATTTGAAGAAATCTCTTTTTTGATGAACAGCATGCTATAGTCTAAGCAGTAATTAGACAAGTACGATGACGCTTCTGTGTTACATTAAGAAAACGAGCGTTTAAAAAAATTTCCATCATTTAAAAATTACTTCATCAAATCTGCTGAATGTTCTAGGAAGATCAGCACAACTAAACAATATCGAGTTTTAATATTTTACACTGCCATCTAGTGAAACAGAAATGCAACACTACATTCATGACAGATATGTAAACAGAGATAATGGATAATGTTGAATGTTTTGTGTGGAACTAGCCTAAAATCAAATTTCGGTTTATTTTTCTAGCAACACTGTTTATCGATATTATGATATTCCCTACGACTGGTAACCAGTCAATATTTAAGCTATTTCAATTTGAATCCTAAGTAAAAAAATATCTCTCTAAAAAAATCTCGATAAAAAAATTCAGCCAAACAACATTTATAGTCAAATTATGATATTTTTTTTTTTTTATTTTTATGTATCTTTAATAGAAATTTAGCAGAAAAGATAACAAGTTGTGAAATGTATTTGCCGAAATATTTGTACATTTAGTAACATACAAATTACCTATATTTTTTCTTTTCGTGCCAATTTTTTGAGATCCCCCACTTCATCAGCGGCAAACTTTTTATATATATTTTTTTTTTACTTTTTTAACTGTATTCTTGAAATATTAATAAATATCTTTGGTATCTGTCCTTTTCCTTATATTATCCATTATTCAACTTTTCTGATCCTTATCCTAAATTCCGTCGTCCAAAACTCCTTTACTAAAATGCTATTTCCCAAATTTTGTTTTTGGCGGATGCACTTTGTGCCGTGCCATAAAAAAGAAAAAATAATAATAATAAATATAGAAAAATGGATAGTAAAAATATTGATTGCCTTTTTTACGGCAGTTAAAAAATTTTCTTAAATTCGTACCTAGTATAGTAATTAGTACCTAGACCAGTGGGTCTACCATGAAATGAAATTCCGAAATTTCGGACTCGATTTCGTGTTTTTGTTTATACTAAAATCGGACCAATAAATGCAGTTTAACATTTCGTTTGTCATACATCCTATCATAAAAGTCCAAAGGAACAATATTTTAACATTTTTAATATTTCTAAATAGAATGTATTATGTAATTTTAACATTAAATTTGTGTTTCGGTTGGCTTCGAAATTTCGGAAAACATTTCATTGTAGGCCCTCAGAATACCCCCTTAAAGGCCTTTATAAAAGCCAAAGGTGGCTATTAGAAATAGATTTTTTTTTTTGCTGAGACTAATAAATATGTAGGTATAAATAATAATAGATGAATAATATTACACTACTTCATAAAAAATGCATTTTCATTTGTAACAGAACTTCGGGCTGGACCAGGTATAAGCGACAAGCTACACGCGTTATTAGCTATCTATATATGTCTAGTTATGACATGTTTATTCAAACATAGTTTAATTTTACTGTTATTATATCTATATACAAGCCAATGATTGAACTCTTTATGTTCACATCAAAAGACAATATGCAAGCCAGATTGCTGTATTACTATTCAGCAACAATAACATTGTTGCCATTTTTTTTATGCAACTTAGCATAGCAAAACAATTGACGGCCATGGCCCACCTGATGGAAAGTGGTAACAGTCGTCTATAAACATGAGCAGTACCATGGACATAACAGAGTATACTGTTTCACCCATGACACCCCCCATGCGTTGCCATTCCTGAGGACTCAGGTATTATTCCTCTGTACCCTGTAAATTCACTGCCATATACCACCCTTCAAACCGAAACACAGCCATGCAAACACAACTGCCTCACGGTAGAAACACGAATGCGACAGAGGTGCCCAAGCAAACGACTTTTGTACAGTCTCCCTCTGGTGCTATAAGGTATATTAAGGGTACAATAAGACCAATTTATTATTTTATAGCTATATATTTGTTAATAAGTAATAATAAGTAAGGTTTAATCACAAAAAGAATATTATTTTTTCTCACAAGAATAGTATATTATAAATGAAAACTGAATGAATACAATGACTATCACGAAACTTTATATTGTAAAAATCAATCAGAGTAGCAACCAGACAAATCCTTAGAGAAGCGCCTTTTCACCAGTATAGGTTGCCCAAAGACTCGGTTCACTATGGCACTGTAAATATCGACATTAGAGCATAATTTGCTTCACGACACTCAATTACATCAAAAATAGTGACAATACAAACTCTGTAATCATTACAAAATCAAAATATTAAAAATGATTCAATCACTCATAACCGTATTTTATGAATTCCTAACTGGCTAGTCAGAGACTTTTGCATTTGTGGTAAACATAACATTATAAGAGTACAAAGTAAAATGACGGCGGTAGGCCTGCCCTTAATATTTAAAAGATAACTATTTTTGGGTAGGCAAGGCAAAATATCAATATATATATATTGATATACGTTTAAAAGAATATTATTACTTTGAATCACTTTAATTGCTTAGATATTCTTATAATTAGTTGATGATATATTTTTATCTACGAAGCCTATTGAACGTTTCCCTAGCTTCCCTTGCCAGAGCGACCTCATCCGCGCTCTGCTGTAGCGTCATAGCTTCTGTTTTTAATGTAGCTAATGTCTCCACCAGTGCAATCAGAGATTTCGGAAGAATTTGGTCAGGCACTGATAATTTTGTGTATTTCGCCTGTCAATAAATGATTACATATTACTTAATTGCCTTAATATTATAATTAAAAAATATATATTTAATAAATAGAAATTTTATTCATCCATCATGATTATACTCTTTTTAAACTCATACAGCTTTATAAATAAGAAAGTGTCATTATTAGAAAATATACCTTGGCTTTTTCACAGCTCTCTGTATATGAAGCCACCTTATGTCTCATCTGTCTTATATAATCTTGAATATTATCAGGGTTTGGTGACTGTTGTGATAAAGACTTTCTAGAAAATTGTAATTCCTTCTTCAAGCCCTCCAAAAAATTGTTGTTATTGTCAATTTTTACTTGTAATAACTGGTTACTCTGTTTTAACTTAAGTATTTCATATTCTTCTTGTAATTTTTTTGATAGCTGTGAAGTATGATGTACTGATATTGCAATGGGATCAAGGATATCAATGTCCATTGATGCTTGACACTCAGCTGCTTGGTTTAAAAGCTGTTGACATTTCTGTGGCAATTCTTCAATGGATACATTCAGTTTCTTCAGTGTCTCAGATGTAGCTGTAGCTGAAAATTTATATACAATTTTATTAGTTTTGTGTTTGCTACCCCATAAATCCATCAATAAAACCGATTTGGAAAATTCCTTTTTTTTATCTGTAAGCATATACTCAAAGATCTCAAAAGTCTCATAGACATTTTATTGAAATTGATTCAGTAATTTAGTTTTTAAATTGAAATAACTGCTATTGTCATAATTGAAGTAGACAGGAAGGTAGGTTTTTTATGTATAAATCTTTAATTATTTTTATCTATTCATATAAATAATACAATATAAAAAATACTACTATAGTACTATAAAATAAAAAATATATTAAAAAATAAGTACTTAAATTTAAATAACAATACCTCATATCTACATCATTTGTACACAAATATAGAAAACTTTTTTATTTTTCAAAAAGGATATACTTTTAGATTGGCCCTACATAAATTTTATCAAAATTAGTACAGTAATTCAGTTTTTAAATCAAAATAACTACTTTTATCCACAATCAAAGTCAATGTTTTTCTGTGAAAAGAAAATCTTAAATTATGGACAAATATTATCATAGACTACCATTGTCAGGACAAGTATTACCATAGATTCTGCAGAGAAAGAATAATTACTTTAGTAGAGTGAATTTTATCTTTTTCTTCTTTTTCCTGTTTTTTTTTTTGAGTCTCTCCCCCTAGTAGTTGTGCACCACACTATATTGTTATGGGTTGTCTGTTTATTGTGTTCACATATTTCATGCATTGTTTGCAACTAGTTGATTGGTCGACCATGGCACCTTTTCCTTCTTTTATTTAAAAAGTGATACTTTTTGTCATATTGTTATCATCCCATATCCTCACATGTCCATAATATTCTTGTACACTCGCAATTCTAAAGGTGCCATGGATATATCCGTTTAAAAAATTTTTGAGGAGTAGATATTAATATTTTGCTTTTTTATAATTCCATCTAATTTAAAGGCTAGAAGTGAAATAAAATATAATATTAACTATGAACATTTTTAATAGTTATAAGAATATACATTTATAATGCTACAGCAGGAAATTTAACAATATTTTCAATTCTTTTGGCAACATTTAGTAATATCTCTTCTGATAAGAATGGACCCATCAGTTGTACTGACAGAGGAAGATTATTCTTTGACAAACGAATTGGTATAGATATGGCAGGAATACCAGCCATATTCGCAGGTTGTGTACAATAGTCTTGAAATGCACATTGATCTCTGTTGTGTTTTGACATAAAATCTTTATATAAAGGTGCATCTGATAGTGTAGTAGGTGTCAACAATATATTCACATGATCATCACCATTAAAAATATTTTTAAAGTCATTGGAAATAAGTCTACGTAATTTTTGTGCCTTTACAAAATATTTGTCATAGTTTCTTGAGAGTAAAAAATAGTTTCCTGCAAATATTCTACAACGTACCACATCATTAAACCCTTGAGACCTTGTTGATGCATATAATTCTTCTGTAGAATAATTTTCCTCTGCTCTGAAACCATACTCTAAACCATCATATCGTGCCATATTGCTTGCTACTTCGCACTGATTTAAAATGGAATAAACAGCAATTGAAACTGATGTATGTGGTAATGACACAGATTTTAACACAGCTTTTTGATTCTCGAGTAAATCGGCTACATATCTCCATGTGTCTATGACCTCTTGACTCATACCTTCACAATAATACTCCTTAGGTATTCCAATTTTTATTTTAGTCATATCAAAATCATCTGTAATAGACACAGGATCAAATTCTTTTTTTATTGTTGTAGAATCTAAGAAATCTGGTCCTGCAATGCAATTTAAAATAGTTGCTGCATCTTCTACAGTTCTAGTCAATATTCCTGGTACATCCATTGAATTTACTAAAGGTATTAAGCCATATCTAGATACTAAACCATATGTGGGCTTAAGACCAACTATTCCACATAATGCAGCTGGATTTCTTGTTGAACCTCCTGTATCAGATCCTATAGCAGCAACACAAGCCCCCGAGCTGACAGCCACAGCACTACCTCCTGAGCTACCTCCAGATATTCTCCAATCATCATTACTTTTATCATAACCCCATGGATTGCGAGTAGGTCCAAAAATAGAATCCACTGTCCCAGCACCCATAGCAAACTCGTCTAGGTTACATTTACCAATGAGACAAGCACCAGCGGCTCGTAACCTAGCATATACAGTCGCATCATAAGTTGGGACAAAGTTTTTTAACATTTCCGAAGCACATGTCGTTGTAATGTTACTAGTACAGAAGTTATCCTTTATTCCAAAAGTTATGCCATCTAACATTCGTGATTTCTTGTCTATATAAAATCGCTTTTCACTCTCAACACCATGGTTTTCTGCCTCATCTTCAGTCACGGTCACAAAAGCGTTTAATTCACTGGTTTGCTTAACTTTTTGTAAACACAAATCTACGAAGCTTGTTGGTGTTAATAATTTATCTCGATATATTTTATGAAGTTCTTTTATTGTATAAGTTGTTAATTTATTCATTTTTAAACTAATTTCCAGTAAGTTATTATTTTACAATTTCATCAGTTATAAAAATGTCATTATTAAATTGACAGGAAAACGAAGGAAAACACGCAGATTTAAAAAGACCATGAAAAACGAAATCAGACATTCAGGTTTGGGAAGTTCTTAAATAAGTAGAGTAATACACAACGAACTCTTAAACATTTACTTACCAAGAGCAAGTTGTTCTTGTTTTTCTCGTAAAGTAGTATTTACTTCTAATTTAATATGCTCATCTTTAATATTCATTTTGAGTTTCATTGAAATTACGGTAATATTGAACAAAATAACGAAAATAAAATATTAATAAACACGAATTCAAATTTGACAGTCTCAGAAAACATCATTGACAATTGACTTTTTGTAACAGCCACTATGATTCGTCGACCGTATTAGTGTTACCATTATCATTAAATGTCATCACAACTTCTCATTCAATGAAGAATATAATTTTAGGTGTTAGTAAACGGTTACATTTTCAATAGTCATTAGTACAATTATTTATTGGTAACCAGACAAAAGCTAATACCACTGTGTCCGGATATTTGGTAACCAGACAAAAGAAATTGCCGTAATTTCATTAAAAGAATAACCTCTCAACATGACTCCAAAGATATAAAGAAACACACCCACACCTACACAACTATTGTCTGGTTTGATATATTTATTGTTTTATCTATATTAATATTTAATATTATTATGCTTGTAGTGCTTGTAACTATCTTTTTTTCATAATCTGCATATGAACACGATTTTATCAAGAACGTGAACATTATTTGCATTATTACTTGCATTTTAATGCAAGTATAAATTATTGCATTCTTTAAAAAAAATTGTGTTTAGCATATTCAGTGTAGTTACTTACATGGTATTTAATAGTTAAGTCATGTTGGTCATCTATAAAGCATCTATGCTATAATTTCACCATTTATTTATTTATATTAAGGTTTGCTATAGTATAATAGAGTTTGCTAGATTATTTTTAACTCAGACAATAAAGTATAGTATGTTATACTAAGTAATTTCTATTATCTGTCATAGAGAGGACCACAGATACCATCATTGATCTATACAAGTAAGTATTTTTATTATTACGTGCTATTTATTATCTCTGACATTGTGTTATATAGGAAATCTATATGAGGAAAAAGGAAGATTATGGTCACATAAATACTAATTAAAAATAAGTTATATGAAATCCATGCAACCATTTTTTTTTAATTCAAGAGGTTTACACTAAATTAATTAGGTCTATTATGATACCTATCGATACTTTAGAAAATAGTGTACAATTAATAACTAACTAACTATATCGCGCCGCTTCGTCCGCGTAAATTAGTACATAAAGTGTGTCTATGTGCTAAATTAAGAGATAACACAGATAGTGATAGATATAACCGTCATAAACTTTTGTATTTATAGTATAATATTAGTAGGATTGTATAATACATTTGAATATTCATGTATTTTATTGGTAATGCAAATGGTTGGGGGGGAAAGGGATTGTTAGCAATGAAGTTTGACAGCCCCATTGCTAGCAATATACCTTATTGGGTCGACCTCCACGTGGTTAACACCCCAAAGATGGATTGATTATTGTCAATATTATTTGATGATAATGCACAACCATTAGAGGGAGCAGGAATATTATATTCCTTAACTATGGCTTCATGGAAACCATCGTGAACAATTCTCGTTGAATTGAAATTTTGATATATGCTCCTCGCGATGGGCTAACTGACCTACTTCATCCTCACCTATCATCCTTCACTGGTGCCCCGCCGGTGTATACCGATAGCGCGGGTGGGGTTGCCATTCCATTATCATCCATTAAAAAAAAAAATGCAAATGGTTGCATAGATTCATTTTCCAATTTTATGTATCTAAGAGCAGTGTTGATTTTTTAATAACCTACTTAATTTTTTGTACCTTGTCAAGAAAGTTAATATTTGTTATAAGTAATATTTTTATTATTTTCCCTTTAATAATTGTTACTAAAGTAATTTATTAAAAGCATGTGTTTATATATATTTATCTAAGTTATGTATTTTGTCATTACTATTCGATACAATTAAAAATGGCTCACATGCAATATATTCCCGGTGATCCTCGTATGGTTGACCAATTGGTGTACGAGCTGAAGTCCAGGGGGATATTTGATCAAGTAAGTAACAATCAAAAAAGAAACATCGCTTAAATCTGAAAGTTATTTAATAGGTTTTAAGAAATTAATCTCAATTTTCTTAGAAGGTCGATAATTTTTATTCATGTTCAAATTATAGCAAAGAAACGTTCCTTTTACCTAGTAGATACAGTTAAAAATAAGGATTTTACTATTAACTGAATATTTCTGAATTTCGTCCCTTTTACGTATAGGTTGTGGTGTAGATAGGTAGGTAGGTTCTTAACTTTATTAATGCTGTCTCGTCAAGTTCTTTTTTAGGATTCCGTTACAAATAGGTACATAGGTACAAATCTTATGGTGTTACTTTATCTGGTCCCTAGATATTTTCCAGACTTAAAAGTCTCAGATATGTCTTTGCGAATCTTTGTTCATATCTAGGGTGGGCATAAGACAATTCTGGGACAGGTATTGGTTTAATGCACGCATGTACTAACTCATAGTTAATGTTTTTGTAAATTATATTTTTTAGTATATAGTTTGTTTCAATAAAAGTTAATAAAAAGTTACCTAAGTTTTTTTTAATTTATCACAGAAAATAAAAGAAGTAAATGAAAGGGTTCGGTTTCTCATATTAAATCTACACTGGTGTCTTTGTTGCCATGACATTGGTACCTTTAATACATTGCTAATTGTTGGCTAATTGTCAAACTCCTAACTTCATTCATTTTTAGAAAATGGCCATTGCAACCGCTAACTGGGTACAGAGGAATAACACCTGAGTCCTCAGGGATGGCAACTCATGGGGGGTATCATGGACAAATCAGTATACTCTGTTATGTCTATGGTACTGCTCATGTGTGTAGGCGACGGTTATCACTTTCCATCAGGTGGACCGTCAGCTTGATTGTCATTCTAAGTTGTATAAAAAAAATGTCAAAATTATGATAGTTATTTGAATGAAATCAAACCGTCATGAAAGTACCTAATTAACTTTGTATTATATATTTTTTATAATTTTGCAAATAATTATAAGGTAGCAAAAATATATTCAAGAAAATAGAGGCAGATTTTGATGATTATTTCTTGAGGTACATCAACAAAAAAAAAAACAAAATCAATTATATAGATGTGTGATGAATGGAACATATTTAAAAAAATCTATGTAAGTAGGCATAAAATAATAAGTACACTAGTAGTTTCAACTGACACTAGTTGAAATTTATAATACATTGCACTATTGACTAGTTGTGACAAAACATGAAACTGTGTTATTTTTATTGTATTATTTTACTCTCGAATTTCTTTATTACACTTGTCAAATAATAATTTCATTTTCTTTCAAAATAAAAAAAAAAAAACATTTTATTCTATATTTATTGACTATTCAATAAATGTGTTGTGTTTCATAGAAGATAGCAAAGAAATAGGCACTAAAAACCACTTCAGTTTTAGTTTTTATTTCTTAAAATTCTTTTTTATTAAAATAACAAGTATAATTAGTATGTATCTAACTATAATACATAACAATTACATAGATGTGTGTTGGGAGGAACATATTTAAAAAATAAAAATTTTATGTGAGCAAAGACATAGTGTATAGCATTTTTTATAAAATATATTTTTTTAATTTTTTAGTTTATTTTTTAAGATTTGTGAATGTTTTGAGTTTTTCTTTAGATTAAGAATAACTGTTGATTATTTGATTAGAATTATTTTGTTTAATTCCACTATCAGTATGTGTGTGACTACCAACACTCAAAGATTGACAACCACAATTACTATATATATATATTATTGGCAATGGGGATGCTAGATCTCTTTACTAACAAGACAACTAGTTAACAGACTGCACTGTACATTATAATACAATATACTATAAGCATTACAAATTATATAATATAATCTGCACTTTATTGGACATAGCAACCTAGATTGACTGGTTGACATTTATATCAATTTAGTCTTTAAATATTTTTCAACAATAAAATAGAAAACTATATACTTTATAAAATAGAAACCATTTACTAATATGTTAACAAATTTTAATACATTTTTTATTTTATATTGTTGTGTTATTCATTATAGATTTTAGTTGATACATTATATGGTACAGAAATATATTTATCATTTTAAAATGATTGTATTAAATTATTTTTGTAACAACATTATCTTTCTACAATCAGCCAAAGCTGGGCAGATGTCTAATATGTACATTTCTGTTTTCCAAATAACAAAGGTTGACTGAGCCGTCAGCATGTTGTGCCATACTTTTTGTAAAATGAAATAAATATGAAAGAATAAACAAAAAATAAGTTATGAGAAAAAAAGAACATGTGCTTTCCAGCAAAGACACCTACTTGCAGAACTTTAAGTAAAATATATATACATATATACACACTTAATCATACTGTTATGTAATGATTCTGGCTTCAATGTAATAATGAAATTAAATAAGTGTTACAGTTGTTGTTAACTAGTTAAAAGATTTTGTCTACATGGCTAAGGTATATTAAATGATTAGGTTATAAATTACAATTCACTTTTTTCTATCTCAATTCTTTTTTAAATTATGGCTCCATAATTTTGCCATTGTCAAGATTGAAAGAGACACTGCAATTTTATCAACAATGCGATAAGATTTCTTTGAACATGTTTGAACAGGGATTTTTCAGGAAGAATAGTTTATGATAGTTAATTGTTAAAAGGAAATATATTAATTTTATATATTTTTTTACAGAAATTTTGTAAATATATTAAAGGAAAAAAGACTACAGTTAATAGATACTTGACATTAACATGATGACAAATATTATTGAGGACAGTGTTATATAGAGGGGCTGATATATTGTGGCATTCAAGTAGTATGTGTTGTATAGTTCCTTTATCTAGTCTGCTCACATAGGGAGCAGTGTCATATTCTTAATTTGGTCAAAAACACCACACAGCATACATGGCCTAAACATAATATAATAATGAGAGAAGTGGTTAGTTAGGTTAGTAAGTCCTTAATATATAAAAAAAAAACACAGTTTGGTGGATAAATTTTGCTGTATTTTACTGTTTATGTTTTTCTATTCGGGTAAATTGCAATTAGTTAATTCAAGCAGGCATCATCTGAAGAATAGCTAAAGAGTGAAGGTCCCTGGTGACGCAATTGGTAATTTCAGTTTTAATCTGTATTGCTTCTTTGACGTATAAATCAGCAATGTAACTGTTAACAAGACTATGATTTGGAATTCAAGCCAGGATAAATTCAATGCCGGCAAGTTGGCATTAATGTGACTACGTTTATTGAATCCGAGAATATAATAGTTTTGTTAAGATTTTGAGACTATATAGCAAATAGCTTTATATAGGGCAATGGCTTCGCCGTTGAATGTAGTGATTTGAGGGGCATTTATAATTTAAAATTATATTAAATTTAGGTATCCACATAGCTATCCCTAATGTTACTACTATTGGATAATTTAGAAGCTTCTGAATAGACTTGGTCAACTATACCAATCTCGAATGAGTATTTTATATCCAAATTTAAAATCACAGAGGGATGAAATATAAGAGACTCATTCAGAAATACAGGGTTATTTTTATATTAGTTACAAGGGATGGAGTTGAATTTTCTGAAAGTTTGGTTAGAGAAGTGATGTCTTTATGTGTTCAGTACCTTGAGGAATTAATAAGATCTAATAGTAATTTGATTTTGTATATATGTGTATGCCAAATTTTATAATAATTGGTTGACAATTAGTATAGGTGCCAAAAGATAACATCATTTGTTATCTTTTGGAAACAGATAAATATCACTTTTTTATTTATGAATAAGGATAAATACATTTGTATCATCAATATTTTTTATTCCTCTTTGATTTTTTTTATTTCCCTTTTAATTTCATATATTTTAATTGCAGTTTCGTAAAGACTGCATTGCTGATGTTGACACAAGACCAGCGTACCAGAATTTGCGTCAACGTGTTGAAAATTCAGTTGCCACTTTTCTGTCTCGACAATGCTGGACACCGGATTTGAATAAAAATCAACTTAGAGAAAAACTTAGGAAACACATACTTGAGTAAGTAGCATACTGGAAGGGGATTTTAAATATCGTCCGCTTTTGGCTTCACTATGATCTCATGGCTATATTTTGATTTGGAGGGTGAATAAGGGCATTGAAATTACAGAATGCAGAGGTAAAAATATCCTTATCCTTAAGAAAACACATAAGAGCGTACCCTCCACATTGCAGTGTATTCTATGGTGCCCATTTTGCTATTAATATTTATAAGCTACGTTTATAATTAGCTACCAGGTAGATTGTCAGCTTGTTTGCCTAGTTACATATTGTTTATGCAACTTGGTATGGGCATTCGACGAATTACACATTGAAGAGGTTACTTATTCTTTTTTATTTTTAACTGTTCATGTATTGTACAGTATCGTAGACGGCGACTGTTTATATTGTGTGCGCCTCTTATAGTTATCTCACTTATATGAAGTTAGTTATAAGGTTTCTTCAAGATTGGTAACGCGACGTGATTCCCCTACGCATGCAACGTTCATAGGCTACAGTGACCGTTTACCATCAGATGGGCTATAAGCTTGTTTACCACCTTTGTGGTATAAAAAAAATCATTTTATTTATTTTTTTGAGTGAGATAATATGACATTTAGAATACAGATTTCGAAGAATAAAGTATTATGAACTCTAGATAGTATCCTTTTTTAGTTTTATATTTTAATAATTTTGCTCTATATTTTCAATGTTAACTTTTAAATAAAGTATTTAAATATACCTCACCGTTAAATATGTTATCTCTGTTATGTTGCAGTGGAAATTATTTGGAGCAGGGTGTGGAAAGAATTGTGGATCAGGTAGTAAATCCCAAAGTGGCATCAGTTTTCATACCTCAAGTAGAAGATCTTGTATATGACTTCTTAGGCATAACTCGTAAGAAAAAAGATGTACCTGTCGCAGAAACATCTAATTTAAAGGCCAATAATAATGACCTTCTCCCTACAGATTTAGAAGCCGTTAGTCCCGGTTCGGTTAAAAGTAATGATGATAAAACTGAACAAATGGATATTGACGAAATAAAAGATGAAAACAAAATTACTATAGATCAGGAACATAAATCGTGTATCAAAGAAGATAGCTCGGTCGGTTTAGAATTACCTGAGAAAGAGAAGCTTGATGGTCAAGATACTCAAATGTCTGGAATAAGCGAATTAACATCGAATGAGTCTGATGTTAGTATAGATAAGTCTTCAATACCTTTACCTAATGATGAAATAAAGCCTGAAGACATACCGAGACCTACTGATAGCCCTCCTAAAGTGGCTAAAGTAGAATTAGACAGCATAGAATTGCCAAAAGAACCTTATTTATCAACAGATATACCATTACCAGATGAAATACATACGTCCGACAAAGATCACTATTTTAAACCAGTAAATGTAAATAGTGAAGATGAATCCAGCTCTGATTCATCACTTAGAAGAAATATGTCTCCTTTAACACCAATTCGCAATTTCAATAATGAAAATTCCTGTGATGCTCAACAAGCATTTGAGAATGATTCAGTAGACAAAAGTGATGAGAAGAAAGAACCAAGTACTTTCAGATTTGCTATTGCAGAGACTAAGTCTTTAGAAAATAGCTCTGATGGAATAGAAACTGAGAAGAAAGATCTTGATCAGTCAGGTTTGTCATATCAGTTTAATAATCAAGTTAATATTAATACATTCAATACTCCTGTATATGATGACAGCTCAAATAGTAATTTATTACATATAGATTACGAAAGTGATGTTAATAGCAAAACAAACACAGAAACTAAAGCTCCTGAAGCTGACTATTCTCAGGATTCAAAGAAAGAAAGAAAAATTGAAGAAAAGAGGAGCAGTCATAAAAGTTCACATAATTCTAGAGATTCGCACAGACATTCCAGCAGCAAAGATAAGCGTTCAGATTCTAAGCAGTCTAATTCTAGAGACAGCAGCAAACACGATAAAAAATCATCGTCTTCTAAAGATGATCACAAATCTAAATCGAGTCATAAAGAATCATCAAAAGATAGAAGTGATAAAAAAGATAATAGAGACTCTTCAAAACACAGAAGTTCCCACAAAAGTTCTAGTCATAGAGATTCTAAATCACATAAAAGTTCTAGTTCAAGTCAAAGACATTCAAGTAAACATTCTGATGATAAAAAGTCTTCGTCTTCCTCGTCTAGCCACAGGGATAAATCTGAAAAAAGTTCTGAAAAGAGTTCTAAGGACTCAAAAGAAAAATCATCTAAGGACTCTTCAAAATCCAGTTCACATCGGTCGGACAAAGATCGAAAAAGTGGCAGTAAGAGTAAACACGATGATAAAGATAAAAAGAAAGAAAAGAAGGAGACTGATGATCACTACAGTTCATCAGGTAGAGGAAATCATAATCGCCGGTCTACCGATAGAGACTCAAATGATGGTAGCTCATCGTCCAAAGGCTCGAATAATCCATCTAGTACAAAATCTACGGAAAGTAAGAAAGATAACAAAGGTACTTCTAAATCTGATTCTACATCTACAAGTGGAGATTCTACAAGTCCTAGTGATAAAGAACATTGTGTAAATGAAACGCAAAATACGACCAAGGAAGTAATGCAGCCGAAACTAATAGTTAGAGTTGAACATTTAGAAATGCCAGTTGCTACGCCGCCACGATTGCCATTTGTACCTGATGTAACCTTAAAGAAACCAAAATACGCTGCTAATTTAGAAGAAGCTAAAAAACTAATGAAAATGCGAAAGTTTTTAGACGAAGAACAGAAGAGAATGAATCAAGAAGCTGCTTTGCTTTTAGAGTTTCAAGCAAATGTTCGACCAAGCTTAAGCCAGATCTATTCCAGTATTCCTCCTGGCCCGGAATTGGAATTTGCTTGTGTTACTAATCCTGTAGAAATGGTTATAGAAAAACAACAAACACCAGAAAGCTCTAATAGTAGCGCAGATACTTCTGATGACTTAAAAACCTCAATTCAGTCTGTTGAAACGAAGAACGATGCTATTATAGAAATTTTGACAGCCGCGCAGCAAGTGGAGAATATAGAAGAGCAAAAGCAACTACAAATCCAGAATAATAACGAAATATTACAGATGGTAGAAAAGGTTGAAGATGAAGTAGAAGCTGATGCAGACTCGAAAGCTACAGTTAAAAAATTAGAAACCGTTGAAAATATTGATATTGCTGACAAAGATACTTTGGAAAGAGAAGAAAATGATAATAAATCAGATGGAATTAGTGTTGAACTTGCTATGGAATCTTTGCATGGTGAACTATATACACACAATGATTTTAAGAAAGAAACTGAATCAATGATTAGTAAAATAAATACGATAGAAAACATCCAAAAAGAGCTAAATAGCAATAAAAGGACAGAATACTTTGAAGTAACTATTATAACTGAAGAATTGTCTGAAGCAGAGGATTCGGTGGATAGTACTAAAGACACAGAAATAAAAACGAGTATTAAAAAAGTAGATGAAGATAATGAACACGCAGAAATAGTAACAAATAATGTAAAATCAAAAGAAATAGAATATCATACTGAAGAGCATCAAAACAAATTTAAAATCGATATATCTAACAGCAGTTCTGATGAAAAGCTATTACGATACTTTAGAGAACATGAAAAATTTACTGCAGAATTGGAAAGGGATACATTTAGCAAATTTTTAAAATCTTACACAGATAACATTTCCGTTAGTAAAATGTATTTAATGAATTGCGACACATATGAGGAAAATATTCTTAAGGAGATATCTCAGCATTTTGGAAAATATAAAATTGTTAACTACTATAAAAATGGTCATTTTAAAATGTCGAAGACTACAAATATTGTCAAAGACTTGAATGTTTCTGGTGAAATTATTCTACCTAATATAGATTATTTTGAAAGTAATACCAACAGATCGCCAATATTTAGTCCAGTGAAATCAGAATGTTCATTCGAACTTTCAAGTGATTATGATGCAAAATTAGAAGAGATGGTAAATAAGACATCAAGAAAAGAAATAATGGAAATTATACTCGGTAATATTGCAGATGAATCGCCAACTAAAATGCCTAAGATTGATTATTGTTCTGAATTAAATATAGAAAGTAATAATGAAAATCCGTTGAAAAGGAAATTTAATGAAACTGAGAGTATAATTAATAATAATAGACCGGTTTTAACTCCAAACAAGATTAGAAAATTAAGTGGATCTGATCAGATTTCGTCAACTACTGAAGGTGAACAAGCATATTTTGTATTTTTATATATATATTCTTCTTAATAGTTATTAATATTTTAAATAGGTAAATTTTGTTTTTACTTTAATGGTGGGTTTATGGAGCTACTGAATTGATTATTACTACACTTTCTATTTTTTTAATGAGTTTTTATAATTGATTTACAAAAATATTGTCCTACATGTTTTCTTTCTAGATACAAATCAATTTATTTTTAATAAATGGGACATTAATATGAGTTTTGTACATGTAACTGTAGTATTTGTATTACGAGTACTTTATTTCGAGACATTTTTTATATTTCTTAATTAAAACAACATTACGATGTATATATGTATGTACAACGAGAATTTAACGAACGTACTATTTGTGGTTTTCGATTGTTTCAACTTCATCCGGAAGTCTTCTTCAGGGGGCGATTCGCGTTTAGCGTCACAGCGTCTCACCTCGCACTGCGGGCTACAACTCGCAGAGTCCATGAAGACGTCAGCGCGGCCGGTGGAGGGGGCGGAGATAGTGGCGGTAGGAGATAATAATCTAGTTGAAGATCAGTCGCTTTATCCAGTGTAGTTATCGTTGACTGAAGGGCTCTCGTCTTCGTTGCTGCTATTTTCTGAGCTGCCCAACACAACCTGACACGCAAAGCTCACTGTGTCTTTTTTAAATTCATATAAGGATTTCCATGTAGACACGTTCTCTAGGCCTGCGACAAAGTCCACACTTTGTCTCTATTGGAATTAGGCCGACGACAAATTTTTATTATTTCTCGAATTTTGTGAAGAATAAACTACTTCTCGAAAAAGACTTACGGATGAAATCGAAGCAGTTGTCAGAAGCGGCGAACAAAATAACTTCGTTAAATTCCCGTTGTGCATGTATATAGACATCGTAATAGAAAATAAACGTAAGTTTTAAAATAACAATATTTTTTTTTATTTGAAAATGTATATAATTCACTGTTTATGTTGTGACTTCTTGATGAAACAATATTATATCGTTATACATGTTATGTCCAACTAGACAGTCTTGCCTGTATAGGCACAAAATAATAACCTTGAATATTTTTTATTTTATTTTAGAGAATGAAGAATCTAGCAATAATAATGTATCAACAAATGTTCGATCGAAATACTTAGGCAGAGCCAAAAGAGTTGGATTACCACGCCCTAAGAGAACTAGTGAGTTGTTGTGCTGTTAATTATCTTTTTTTTTTTATGCAGTTTAAAATATTCACATGCTTACTGGTTACCTGATGGAAAGTGATAACCGTATCTGCTGTCTTATTATTTTTCTTATTCTTTTTGGATTTACTGTAGCATATAATGGTAACGTGACTGTAGGTACATTACAGTACGCAAGAAAAATATGTTCTGTTTTTATATATATATATATATATATTATATATATATATATATATATATATATATATATATATATATATATATATATATATATATATATATATATATATATATATATATATATATATATATATATATATATATATATATATATATATAAAATTACATATTTTTTGCTTTCCAATTTTATTGCGACGCTGTGCTATAGTATAGTACAGAACATCGCACACTACAGTAAAAATAATGATATCTGATTTTTCAGACTTACCCAACAGTCCATCGAGCGACAAATCTATTGAGAATTACGAACAAAATACGCCAGTATCTCAAACACCGAATGGCAAGATAAAAGAGACCCCCAGAAATAAAGTACAGCGATATGATACATCTGACTTGTATAAACCAAAACTACATTATTTATCAAGAAGGAATAATATAACTTAAAGTTGTAATATTCTACATTTTATTTATAAATTAGTTGTGAAATAGATTGAAGTCCAAGATTTGACAAAATTATGCTAAGGCTAAATCTCGTTTGGACAAAATTGCGGATATTGGCTAGTTTTTGGAATGACATTGTTGGTTCGGAAAGAGAAAATTTTGAGATAAAAGTGCTATGTTTATTGGTTTATTTGGATAACGAAAATGGCTAGAAAAATTATGAGTAGATAACACCATAGTTTTAGCTGATCTTACATTTGGTACATTGGATTGGATATTTATTATGTTTGAAATACTCAGACTGCCATGAATAAAAACCAGCAGATCTGATATAACATGGAGCCATGATTATTCTCTCTAAAGATCTCTTGATTGAAGAATTCTATATTGAAAGTGGCGAAAAGTGAAAGCAAGTGTAATGTTAAAGATGTTTAGAACTCAAACACTCTTAAACAGCTGGATAGATTTGAATAATATATAATACACAGTTGGATTATAACACAAAGGATATTTTTAATCCCAATTTATGCGAGTGAAACCGCGGGACATAGCTTGTAAAATTCGGTGAAGTATATAGATGTTTTTTAACTTACGGATGTACAAAGAATATTTGGTGATGATTTGCTAGTTGCAAATCGTTTCCCCTTTCTATGGACTTCTGTTTATCCTTTGATAAAATCAGGATAAAATATCGTTTCGCTCGTCAGATTTACATTTACAGAAAAATAACAGTATATTATAATACTATATAAAATAAGATTTTCGGAAATTACTGCAATCCCTCTATAGCACAGATAGAGAACAAGAATATATAATATCTAATAAATTTATAACTATTACAGTATCTAAGGTTTATTTCTTTTTTTAACTCGCTACATAAAGGGGTGTCTTCTAAATTCTATATATTTTTTTCCAAGTCTATTAGATGGTATGTTCCTTTCATTGTGATGGAATTTCATAGCTGTGTTTGCATGGCTGTGTTTCAGTTTGAAGGGTGGGATATGGTGTGAATTCACAGGATACAGAGGAATAACACCTGAGTCCTCAGGAATAGCAACGTTTGAGGGGTATCATGGGCGAAACAGTATACTCTGTTATGTCCATCGTACTGCTCATGTCTATAGACGACAATTACCACTTTCCATCAGGTGGGCCGTCAGCTTGTTTGCCATTCTGAGTTCTATAAAAAAAAAAAAACATAATTCCTTGGTTGTTTTAGTTCAAAATACAGTCTACTTATATTGTTAATTAAAGAACTTCTTGTTAGTCATTCAGTTGACTTTAAAAAAGAAGAAGTTTCCTAAATCAGTTGTATTATTTTAGTTTCAGTACCCATTATTTATAAATCGCTTTGTGAAATTATTTTTTTTATCTGAAAGGATACACTTTCAAATTAGCTCCATAGAAATTTCATTAAAATTAGATCAATAGATTGGTTTTTAATTTAAAATAATTATGTTTTTTGTGGAATTAAAACTATTTGTGTCAAAATTTAATTAGATTTTTGTTACATTATTCATTTTATATTGTTATTTTTAGATAATTATTATTGACAATATTTATCTTACAAACAAATAATGACAATCAGTATTTTATCGATGCTTCATGAGGATTGTAGTGATTTTCTCCTGTAGTCTTTCTGTATCTATCACAATCTGTATTTTCTCCAATTGAATATTAAATAGCACTTAGATATGTATAAAAAATATTTATTTGTTAATGATTGAATATTATATTGGTTCACAACTTTTGTGTATTTTCTTCAATTGAATATAACACTTATTTATAAAAATAGAGTATTTTTTTAACAATTAAATATACTTAGTCTGCGCTTGAAAGTATATAACTATAGGTAAGCAGGTAATTGTACCGCAATAGGTGATAACTTTGATTCGCGGTAGCGTTATGTGATACAAAAATGTGCTGGGATGTCCCAACTCTTCAAATGTTATTAATATTATTTTAATTTACATATTTATATTGTAAATAAGTTGTAAATATATATATGGTTAATTTAGGTATATAAAACTGATAGTAAACTTTCGAATTCTAGGATTTGCTTTTTTAAGTATTCTAATAAATGTTTAGAATTCAGTATAAAGGGAGGACTATTACTTGATGTTAATTTGTTTATACTTATAACAATAAAGTGATTTTAACTTTGGCCGACACCACTAATTGTGTAAAATTTGGTATTAAACTTAGAAAGTTAGTTTTACTCACAACGTATATTTGTATTATGAGACATTCTTTTTTACTCGTTATCACGAGGCCACTAAAAATCTACCAGACCTGAGAATTTATAAATATATAGAAATCCCTTGACACGATCTTGTTCACGATTATCTTCGAAATTGTTTTTATCATAATAATGGATCCTCTTCATTTTTGTGGCAGTAAAGGGCAAAGTGTTTGCCTGGTCTTCTAGAATTATATAGAAATAGGAAAATAAAAATATTTAATATCAATTACATAGGCATGCGTTTTGTTTTGAAACATCAAAAAATTATATGTACAACCATCTTGAAACGGCACTTTGAAACGTATAAATTAGGGACTATGGTAACAAAATTGGAGTTTTGATGGTAAAAATGGTACATTGGCGATCATAGATTCCAAAGACTTTTTCTCATCAGTTACAAAAAAAATAGGTACATCCGTGTCATTTCTATCTAAGTACTTTTTATTATTATTTTGTTCATTCCGTAAATTCTTGAATGTTTCTTTAAACCTGATTTGTTGGATTTGACCTTTTGAAGAGTCCTTCGATGCCCTTTGTTTTTGGACATCCCAATAATTTGACCGTTTTCTGCATATTTAGCTTATTTTTGTTTTTTAAATGCAATTTTTTTCCAGAGGGAGACTGTACAAAAGTTGTATGCTTGGGTACCTCTGTCGCATTCGTGTTTCAACCGTGTAAAGCAGTTGTGTTTGCATGGCTGTGTTTCGGTTTGAAGGGTGAGATATGGCGTGAATTTACAGGGTACAGAGGAATAACACCGGAGTCCTCAGGAATGGCAACGCATGGGGGGTATCATGGGCGAAACAGTACACTCTGTTATGTCTATGGTACTGCTCATATATATAGGCGACGGTTACCACTTTCCATCAGGTGGGCCGTCAGCTTGTTTGCCATTTTAAGTTGTATAAAAAATGCAAATATTGGAACTAATATATTTAATACCTATATATTGAATTATCTTGATGTTGTATTTGTTTCATTTCACTACTATTTCACGTTTTCGATGGTTGCAGCTTTGTTCCCCACACAGTATAAACGTTTATATATATTAGTAGATATGTCTATTTGTATTGACGCAGATAACAATACTATAGCGCCTGGGTGTTTTCATTATACAAACCTATTTACAAGAAAAATAGGAATGTTTAATAGTTGTATACTAGTGCCCATAGTATAAGACCTGCTTAATTTGGGACTAAATAGCATTTTGTAATATGTCCAGTGCTATTTATATCATTGAAATCTACTACATACTTTAAAACCGATTCAGTGGAGACTAAATATATAATCGTAACGTCCAGTTACCAGGTCGTTAGATGCTTTTTGGAATAAAATGTTATTATATAGGTATATACTCGTATGTATGTACTTACCTATAAAGTGTTATACTAAATTAAATAGTTTTTTTTTATTTAATCATGATGTGTTTTTTTATGAATGGGTCGTAGAGTTATTCTATTTTCTTATATTATCCTGACTCAGTGGAAAGAGTATGTTAGTAATGGGATCCAATAGCCCTATTGCTAGCAATATACTTAGCAGGTGGACCTCTACGCGGTTCCCCCATGCAAACCATCGTGGTAAATTCCTGGTGAATTAATCTATCATCCCTCACTGGTACCATCGATAGCAAAGGCGGAGTTACCGTACCATTATCGGAGGGGAGAAGGGATTGTTAGTAATGTGGACTACCAGTACCATTGCTAGCACTATACCTTGTCAGTTCGACCTCCACGTGCCCAACGTGTAGGTAGGTATTAATAGTACGAAGGTCACACATAAAATATTAATTATATATTTATAATGAAATGAGTAAAAGTTTATGCTAAAAACTGTATTTTTTCATAATTTTGTGACCTTAGACAATGAAGGAACAAGCGTTGAGCCGATAGCTTTGGTTTTAAAAGCCTTACAAAATAAATGAAAATTCAAAACAGTCATTTAGAATAGTATAAATTTTATATAGATAAGAGCTACAAAACTGAGATTTATAATACGATAGGAAAAGATCACAACGAAAATCAAAAGGCTGAAATGCAGATAAACAGATCATATCTTAAGAGGCAAATGTAAATTGAATTTTTATTTCCGCACGTCTTATTTCAGCCGTTGTGCGTACGAGTCTTAGCTAATACATCCAGCCATACTCCGCCCAAAAGCACAAGCTTCTTGATATCTTGACAGGCCTCATTGTTTCGAGAATTTGTGAACTCTAAGGGGCCACAGCTACACATTCCAGAATTAAGTGAGCACCCGTTTCTTCGGCCTCAAAACAGCCACGACATAGAGGGCTGTCTGTGGCCCCTATTGTGTATAAGTTTTTATTTTTATATTAGTGTTAAGATGCAACAGTAAATGCACCCAAAGTAACAAAATGAATTCCTCAGTAGAAGAACTAAAAGAAGTCTGCAATATTTGTTGGTCGGATGAAATCAATTGTTGCAGGTGCATTGTGGCTCAGGTATCAAAAGTATATGTTGACACAGTAACTGTTGTATATCATAGCTATTAATTATATAATATATAAGGACAATAAGGCTTTGAAATTGAAGAGCATATAGGTAAATAAAATGGCCAAATAAATAAATAATCTTTAATCACAAATCTTACACAGTTGTTAACAAAAAATGAACAATAAATAAAAAATGGCATGCTGAAATAAATTAATTCCAATATTTCATGTTCTAATGAGATAATACTTGGTGTAATATCAATGATTGCCTGACATAATGTGTATACATTTATTATTATATTTCAACTAATTATTTTTATCAAAAATGTACAACTACACTTTAGACTTATAATAATTATCCCTATAATTACTATTTGTAACACAGTCAAAATGAAATGCATTCTATGTTTACTTTTGCCATTTTATACTCGGTAGGATATTGTTTGTATATTTATAATTACATGATTGTATATTTATAATCATATGATTATATTAAATGACAAGTCATTCCTACAAGATTTTTGTTTTTAAACTTGTGCCAAATTAATGAGGCATTTTTTGAATTGTAAGTACAAAATCATCTCAAAATGCCTGGCATTATTAATTTACTAATGAGACAATCAACTTGTTTAAATGTCAATACCCACTGAGTAAAATATTGGTGGGCTCAACAAAGACATCTCAGATCAATATTAATACATATTATTATGCTCTGTACTTATTTCAAATTCTACAATTTTTTTAAGTATGTTTTCAAAGGTTCACATGATGGGTATTGACTGTAAAAGGAAAAATATTTGCGATTGTTTAATTTTGAGCTGTTTGTTTATCCAGTCCAGCAGGATCCATTATTGGTGCCTGTTTCTTTACAATGCCAGATAATAATGTTTTAATCTGTGCAATTGCTCGTCCCGGATTCAATCCCTTTGGACAAGTCCTTGTGCAGTTCATGATTGTATGGCAACGATAAACAGAGTAAGTATCTTTTAGCTTAGACAAGCGTTTTGCTGTTGCATCATCTCTAGAATCAATGATCCATCTATAAGCTTGCATAAGGACTGCCGGACCAAGGTATTTGTCTCCATTCCACCAATACGATGGACAACTAGTTGAGCAGCATGCACATAACACACATTCATACAAGCCATCAAGTTTAGCTCTATCCTCTACATCCTGAAGTAATTGGGTCTCTTTACCCTTAACAGCCTCCTTGTCACGTTGCAACCATGGCTCTATAGAGCGATACTGATTGTAAAAGTTAGTCAAATCAGGCACAAGGTCTTTAACAACGTACATATGAGGCAGTGGGTATATTTTAGAGGGTTTGGACAGGTTTTGATCAATATGACTGATGCATGCCAAAGTATTAACACCATCGATGTTCATGGCGCATGATCCGCAGACGCCTTCGCGGCAGGATCTTCTAAATGTGAGAGTTGGATCCATCTCATTTTTGATCTTCAATAACGCATCTAGAACCATTGGCGCGCAATCATCTAGATCTACCTGATAATTTTGAGTGTAAGGCTTCTTGTCGGGCTCGTCTGGGTTCCATCGATAGACAGCGAAAGTCTTGACCCTCTTTCCTAATGCTGATGACGTCGCAAAAGTTCGCAGCTGGCCAAAGCTCCCCGATGTCAATCTCAGCAACGGCATTATGTAATGTTTTGTTTACTACAACAGAAAAATTATTCTATATAAGTATAATACATTAATAAAAATATTTTATTTACTATCAAAATACATTAGTTTTTTTATTATTCTTATACCTAAGTAAAAACAATAATAATTAAATAGCAGAAGAAAACTCGGGAACTACGAAATATAGAAATCAAAAATTTGATGTACAGTTCAACATCAAATTGACATAGATTGACAATTCACTCTAATATTGACAAAAATATTGACTTTGACATTATTTCTTTTTTTAATTTTGGCAAAGGGTTTAGTATTTTGCATGCCTAGAAATAAGTTCTTTAAATCAAGTTTACGCACCTATAATTACTTGTCGTTGATAAATTAGGTATTATTTGTTTATGAATTACGTATCGTTCTTCTTATTTTACTCAATACTAGTTCAGTAATTTAGTATTTTATTATTGGGAAACTGTGCGAAATTTTTTTCTATCTTATATCGTTTTATTATATTTATTTATATCGTTTAATTTTTGGTGGTCATAATTGTACTTACAGCTTACTGTAAGTAAAATTATGACCACCAAAAATTTTACATTGTACATTTTCTCATATTCTATTTGAAAAGTACTTTACATTAAAAAGAAAAAGATAATTATTCCAGTTTACTTTATCGTCACTGCTTTATCTGTGCTTTAATGTTATTCTAAGTCTAAATATCACTTGCGTAGTCTCTGTGCCGTGATTGTGATTTTTTTTACTGAAAATCCGGCTATATGGCTTAGTTCATTTACTTTTCCCGCTGAAGATAAATTGATACTACTGTCATAGAATACCCATTCTATGTTTCTCTTTTTCTTATTTTGGCGGGAAACACGCAAACGCAAGCAAGTGGAAGTAAATATTTTTGGTTTTTGATATTATAATTTTTTTATTTTCCTAGCTTTTGATTATTGGCATCGTTTGTAAATACAATACAAAAATAAACATTACTCACTGAAGAATACAACTTATAAAACATACCTATATTTGGCGAATAACAACAGGACAATTTCCATTATGTAAACAGAAACTAATAGAGTTATTTTGTAACTTTGTAATAAATATGAAAATATGTCGTCGATAAAATCGACTAATATAGCTGAGTCTCCAAAGACACCGGGTGGCATCAGTAAATCATTGTTGACTCCTTGTAGAAGAGTGGGTCTTTCACGGAACTGGAGGAAAGGTGGGTCTTCACCATTCATATCGCCGTTATCTAGTAAAAGTGATGATATAATACAAGAAAAATATACTAGGAAACGAAAAAATAGAGAAAATGACGTACGGCAAGATGAAAACAATACAACTAATATTGAAGAAATAGATGAGACTTCTGTACAAAAAGATAATGTTAACAAAACACCTCATAGAAATTTTGAATTATCAAGGCATAAGAGATCTAAAACATTACTGCCAGTGTTAACATCTGAAACTGAAACACATACAAATCTCAGACAAAAATTAAAAGAGGAAAATAGAGTAACTATTAAAGATACTTTGCTAAAAGACAATTTAGTTAATATATATCCAGATATAGATAAAAATATGGAAGTGTCATCTGTTCATCTTGATTCAGAAAGCAAAAAAGGTGCATCATCTTCGACATTGTTTAATCAAGATATAGTCATTGAATCTCAGTTCGATGAAAATTGTGTTGACCATAAAAAAACATTCAAACAAATACAAGAAAATAAAAAAGATAAAAAAATCCCTGAGAATCTTATAAAAGAATGTACAATTGTCATACAGAAGAATATTTTTAAGAAAGATATTCAGAAACCTGCAGAAGTAAACTCAACTTCTCAAACTTTATTTGACTCTGATTCTGATGATATTCCTCTATGCAATTTGAATAAAGTTGATAATTCACAGAACAAAATCCAGACGGAAGTTCTAAAGTTAAAAGAAAATGATGATTTTATAGAGACAAATACAGTTAGTACAAAGAAAGTAGATAACAAAAAATTGTCTGTAGGTAATTTAAAAAAACTTAAAATGAAAAACAAAAGTAAAGAAAATATCAAAATTTGCAAAACTCAAAAAAATATAAAGCAACAGGATAGTACACCATCATCACAAAGCTCTTATAATGATGATGATGATGATTTTGAAGTAAACAACAAAAGAACAATACTTATAAAGAAAACCTATGATAAAATTTCCAAACCAGTAAAAGCAAAATCAACTGGTTCTATTACTCAGAAAGACATTGATGAATTAAGATCTCGTATAAAAATAAAAAAGAAGCTGTTGTTAACAAAAGCAAAAACCGAAGATACTGCAGAACTTAGAACTTTAGTAAAAAAATGGCAGAAGGGTTGTCAAGATGCATTAATAGAATTAATGGAACTCATGAGAAAGAAGTTCCCAGATAAACCAAATATGGAATATTCAGAAATGTTGCAGATGTTAAAAATACCAGCAACATTGGTGGGTTATGATTCAGATAATGACTGTTTTGTTACACCTGATGATTCATCAATTATTTTATCCAAGTTCAATGATATATGAATTATCTAATAGCTAATAAATAATAATAATTTCTGCAATAAACAAATTTGTTACTTTAAGTAGTCTTTGCAAACTATTAATAATAATTTCATAATTTGCTTCTAAACCAAATTTTTTAATATATTATTAGAATGTAGAAGTATGATATTAATAGAATTGCTTTTGTCTGCAATTTAGTATGCTTAGTAAATATACTTTCAAAATGTATTTCTAGATGGTGTATCAAGATAAAACATATGCCACAATTTAAGTTAGATATTCAGGTACAGAATTGTTAATATTTGCATTCAATTTGGTGCACTAGTTTAATCATGATGTTAGAACAAACCCAGACAAAAATTCTTAAACTATTCTAGCTTCTTTTGCTCTTATTAAGACTGTATATTTTTTCCTTAAACATTTCAGTCTAGCTAAAATTTTATATTAGTGAAATTTAGGATTGCAATATGGAGTGATATAAAATATGAAATATATATCTGTGAAATGACTATATTCTAGATAATTATATTTTATAAATATGCAAGTTTATAAAATGTAGATGTATCGAAGAATGCTTTTTACTTTTTCACATAAGAATTCTGAATTGATTGAAATTAAATTTTATACATATATAGGTTAATCTTTTACCTTAACATGTAAGATATTATATATACTGACAATATAGTTAAGAACTTTGTAAAGGTATTTGGATGTTTAGTAAACACTCTTTAACAAGTACTTTTTACTATTAATCACGAATGTAAAGACAAAAGGGAAACAGCCAGTGGATAATAAATACAAGACAATAAAACTAAATATTTAAATTTTCAAAATATTTATTAATTTACCTTATAATACAAACTACTTAATAATATACTATTTAGGTATTAAAATCTGTGCGATCTTATTGGATTTTCAGGGTCGAATAGTTTTGGATCTTTTAAGAATGCCTTATCTTTGTAATAGTATGGCATGTAGCCACAGTTTTGTGCTTTCTTGATTTCTGTTTCTACTTTTTCTTGTTTAGATTTGCATAAACCAGTAATGTGTCTCCCATAGATTCTACCAGTATATGGACTCTGGAACTGTGACAATAAACGGTAGTTTTTGTAATCAGGTGTTATATTCAACTTGCATAGTATACATTCTCGTCGCTCCTTTTTGAATGGATTTTCTATTTCAACAGGTGCATCTTCGTCAGGTTTTAATTCGGAGGCGAATCTTGTTGTAGATACTGTTACTCGGTGAGTATTTGCAACTAAAAAAATAATACGATGCCGTAAGTAATTTTATCTTATTTATTATTCTTTGAATTTGCAGTATTATACTTACAAATTTGGCGTTTTAAAAATGTTCTTAATAAGGACATTATAAATATTTAATATTGAAGTCAAGTAAAATTCTTGCAACGATTGCTTTGATAATAAAATTATTTATAATAACCTAAAACCGAAATAGAGTAAAACTCGAATAGAATACGATTTTGACATTAATTGACATTAACAACAATGTCAACAATTTGACACTGACTGACATTCATTCTCAGTGTTTTTTTTTTAAGAGTAGGTATAGATTTGGAATTATACGGGTCTCATAAAGATTAACCAATTTAATAATTTTCAATATTTCTAATAGATTACTTAAAAAGTAATCTGATATCAAACTAAAACGTTAACAATAGAATACATTATAATGCACACATTTTGTTATCTCTCTAATTTGTTTCAAAGTTCTTCAGTTGCCTCAAGATAGCCTATGTCAGCGTAATCAGAATTTTCAATTATATGTTGAGTAAATTTTCAATCGACCTAAAAAAAGTTCTCAATTCGGTTATATATTTTTATGTTTATTAGTGTTCTGTCATTTATAAATCGATTTGGATTTTTTTTTTTATCTAAAAGGATATACTTTTTTCAATAAAAATTTTATTAAAATCGATTCAATAATTTAGATTTTGTCGTAATTGAAGTTCATGTTTTTTTAGGAATAACTTCTTAAATTACTATTCCAAAATTCTATATAAAATTTTAAAACCCGCGGCGTGTGCATTGAACTCTCATTTGAACGGTTTTTTACATACAGATTTCATTGACCATACCTGAGTGTGGAATAAATGGGTAAATGAAATCCGATTGCACTAGCATAGTAGTAGTAAGAGGGGAGGGGGAAGGGATTGTTAGTAATGCGGAGGTTAGTCCCCATTGCTATCAACATACCCTAACAGGTCGACCTCTACGCGGTTCCCCGTGGAAACTATCGTTGAATTCGTCGTTGATGGGCTAACTGACCTGCTTCATCCTCACTTATTATCTCTCACTGCTGCCTCGCCAGTGTATACTGGTAGCACAGGCCGGGTTACCATGTCATTTTCACCCATTAAAAAAAGTACTAGTAAAAGATGAATTGGAATAATAGATAAGAATTTCAATGTTACGTTTTCTGGAGATAATGGAAATAGTTTCGCCTGATATTTCTTGTACGGCAAAGATGCATAGCATACAAAATGAAGCGAGAGGATATAACGTACTGAATAGAGTTCTAAATAATTAATGGATTACAAATATTTTGTCTAATTTGGATTATGTAACAGTTTTTATTAGTTACTTTGACTTCAATAGTCTCAGAATGTGGGGAAATGGTGAATGGGGTGCTTTCAGCGGCACAGTATATAACAATATCCCAACATGGATGGAACAAAGCAGATTATGAGTGTTCTAGTATTAAATAAGTGATACTGGGAGAATTTGTTAATAATGGGGATTAATATTTCATAATACTTGGTGCTTCATTGTAACCAATCGTCATGTAATTTGTCAAATACGTAGTGTTTGGCAAGGAGACTGACGTAGGTTAAGACTATTTATCTTTCATATCGCGCGACGAAATCGCGAGTTGGTATAATTATTGTATAACGTCTATGATTTATATTAGGATTCATTACTATTCCTCATGGAAGGCTATGGCTGGGGAAGGTGGTATTTCCCTTTATTGAAAATATTTCTATAATTCTATATGCTAGAGCATCACTCTAATTATAAATCATAAATATACATCTATTATTATTTAGGGATCTATGTTTTGTTGTTTTCATATCCACTTTTGAAATCGAGTGTGATTATCAAAACTTATAAGTAGATTTTGTTTCACAGTCAATCATGGAAAAACCAAATTTAGTAAAATTTCTGTGACACCAATCTGAAAGAATATCAGATAAAATAGAATTTTCAAAATCAGTTTATAGATGACGGAGTTATGAAGTAGCAAACATAAAAAAAGACAACCTAATTGAGAACCAAATACTTTTTTTGTAGTTAGTTAAAAATGATTATTCCAGTAGGAGAATTTCGTAAGAGTAGGAGAAGGAAATTAAAAGATAACGGAGCGCCGTATCCACTCTTCTAGATGAAGGACTTCAGAGGGCTTCTAGATGAAGTCGAATTAATTGTCGGAAACGAAAAACATAATTCTAAAAATTTCCGTTATGCATATGTCGTTAAAAATGAATGTATTTAAAATATATATAAATATAAATAAATAAAACAATCATTTGTGGGACAATAGTCGTCAAATACGTGATTAACATAACACACATCACAAAAGAAACATTTTATGTGAGTAAGATCTCCTTACGACCGAGATAAATAAGATAAAAAAATCTTCTGTTTGTCTCGATCGATTGATATTATTGATCTACACGCTGCCTCAACAATTAATACCTTAATTTTTCTAATGACAGTGGATCATTTACATACAATAGCTCTCTGACGAATTACGATGCAATAGCCCGTTAAATAACAGTTGACGTTTTGTTGAAATGTCTATATTTTAATCTATAGGAGACAAATAGTTATCAATTAACTTATATGTATATTGCAATGAAAGGAAGTCATAATTGTACATTGATTATGTACCTACTGCCTATTAAATTAGATGACAGTAAATATACGTTGTACCAACAATTTGCGTTTACGGAGGTTTTTATTTACCTGCATCTACCCGCACTGTATAGTAAATTGCGCAAACGGACAAGACAACTATTGCAACATGTCGACGTCCACTACAAAATACGATGTTGGTACATAGCTATTAAACGGCCATTTTGAAACGAACACAACACAATGCGGAAATGCATTTCAGGCTGCAACATTTTCTTATGATCGGATAGCTGATCGTTTCGAGTTTCTCGGGGTGGAGGTGTAAACAAGAAATCGTCTATGTATATTGTATAGGTGGGCATAACCGGCGTAGCCACTGTCCGTGTCGTACGTGGCGAATCGAGTTCATTCATAAAAATATTTTTTGTTTTCAATCAAAGGGATTCATGCAAAAAGTAGAAATAAATAAATAAAGAGAGAGTGTTTGTGCGGCGCAAATTTGCGCGCCATATCGGAGTGGCAGTGACCTATCTTTATCACTTTTTAATTCCTAATTTTCATTTCGTGACGTGTTTTGTGTATTTGTGACTTTATAAAATTGTTTCTATTTTTTTTTTTGGATCAACGGATACAGCTTTGAAACTGTAAGTTTTATTTATGAACATAGTTGTCTAGACTAGTTATACAGCTTAATTATGTAAGTAGTCATATAATACAATTTATATAATAAGGATATTTATACACGAATACAAGATGTAAACAGAAATATTTATATTATTTTTGGGTTTGTTTAAAAAGTAAAAGTGAATTGTAATGTCTGAAGACAGAGATGCCATCGTTTTGCGTGGTAATGTTAACGTACTCAAGACAGGCGCAGGCGTAAGAAATCAAGGTGAGTAGAAAGTGACCTAGCTATGAATGGTGCTCACACTGCTCACTACCTGTTCGTGCCTCGTTGAAGATGACGCTTTTAGTTACTTACTGTTATTTTAGTTCCGTAAGTAATAGATGCCTATTTGTTGAATAAAATTTGAATAAATAGTCGTTTAATATATAAAACTTCAGAAATTAAGCAAGCTCTTATATAAGTATCAGGTCTATATAAAATAGCAGATACTTGGATTGTATAATAACGAAGTAAAATATCTTTTAACGTCGTTATTTTAAATCCGGAACGTAGTGACTCATAACTTATGATTATTCACATTTCTTAAAAAGCACTTATATTATATATAAATATATATATATTTATTATAGATATAGATATATTTTTCTCATAGGAATTATAATTAAGTCCATAAAACACAGATTTATATGTATAATTGATATGGGACACTGGAATAACCTGACTCATGATTCATGCCTTACACTAAATATACTGGTCTATAGCATGTATAGTGCCTTTAAACATTATACTAAAAAGTAACTTGTGTCATTGCCGATTTTTAAGTATATATATTTATATATAAGTAAGGTATTGGTTTATACAACCTATATTACTTTTTTCTTATGTTTTGCTTTGTCCTTCTTTCTAAATATTTTCTTATGATTATTTCCGGCTTTCTAATTTCCAAGTATTTTTTTAATAATATCTTTAATACCTAAGTATTCATTGGATGTTGCTCAGTGTTTCTACCGTTCTATTTTGAGTTAAGTTTTGAGTTTAAGGCATATTGTATGGGCATAAGAATAAAGTTATTTATTTCTATGATCGGGATCCAAATATTTTTGTTGGTGAGTGATTCAATATGAAGCAAAAGAGGTAATAATAATGATTGAAATCGCCGATAGATTGTCACCATTATCATTGTATCTAACAATTCCTTATTTCTGGAAATGGGTCAAAAAAAGGTTATTTCTAGTTTTTCTTCACTTATGTTGGTGTGTGTATATGGTTAGTCTAGTATAGCCGTTTCTTATGATATTTTGTGAACGAAAAGGAGTAAAATATATTATATTCCTAATCAGACATTATATAGTGTAGAGAGAAAAGAAGGAATGATACTGGATGCAACTGTAGCTATCGAGTTTAGTCAATTAATAATGCGTTATTTGTAGCTGATTTTTAAGAATTAACTTTTTACTCCATTTAGTGTAAACAAGACATCGTTATGTGCAAATAAACTATATCAAATAATGACATTAATGCTCTGGGTACATGTAAATGAGTTAAAGTAAAACAGCCTATTTAAATCCTCCTAGACCACAAAAATTTCCAGTCGTTATTGTGTGGGTGTCACGTAACTTTATTCGTCTCAATAATTAATATTTATAATAATCGAGAATGAGTAAGTTCACTAAGATTATGTAACTTCAAGCACAATATATTTAACAAAATTAGACCTCTTTAAAAAAATACAAAAGGCTTATGTTTGGTAACAACAATTACGAATTTTGAGTCCTGTAGCGAGTTAAGTCTTTTTCTTGGTTCTGGACTTGAATTTGTTAGCTGTTCAACTTCCCTTTGTTTCAATTTGGAAGGGCTAATTGGATGGGCTATTTGGAAGGGCTATACTTTTTGTCTATTTTGTTCATTTCTTCTCCAAGTATTGATTCTCCGTTACCTCTAGTTTGTTATGAATGTAGAGAAACAATGTGTTGATCATATTGTTTCGATTCCAGCCCAAGTTTAGTGATAGAAAAAAAACACACATTCTATGCAACTACATATAATTAGCGTTTAAAACACAATAACCCATTTGCGGTCACGCCATAGCAAAATATTTGTATAGAACGTCGTTGCTCTTTTACTTGGTCCCTGCTATATATAATGCATCTAAACTCACGTTGCAAATCACTTCATTAATTTTTCTTGTATTTCTCCTCTTTTATTTTTTCACAACCTTTTTATTCTTTTATGTAATGAATTGCAGCCAAATCATTGCATTCGCATTTTACATTGAAGGATAACCCCTTCGTTTATCTATCATTTATTCTGGTCGAGTGTGTGAAGTTGATCGATTGTCCAATATTAATTTTTTCTCATTTCTGGGCTGTAATAATATAGTACAATTTTGAGCAATATATGCCGAGCTCATGCAATGTGCCCTAATAGAAACAGCCGTGAATTTGCTATTTTTCTAGGTTTATCAATTTCTGAAAACATCGGCAGGGCCTTGCTTTGGAGTTTTCTTATTTTGCGATAAAATGGATTTGTAGTTTCGTATGGGCCGATGTAGGTTAGATATACTTACAATCACACATACTTCGACGATGTGTGCGTAAAGTCTCATATTGATTGGTTCCGCCGTTGTGTGGTAAAAACAAGTTAGAAAAGCCTACGCAGCTATGCATGAATATACTTAGAGCGTGCTTCTTGTATGTAACTTAGGCTCTGTAGGGATATTTACTCAGGTCAAATATATCGAGGTCGTATCGGGTTATTTCGGCTACGTTTCGGATTTAACCAACTAAACATTATTATTGTAATATGTTTGTTATGAAACATAAGATTGCAATTTGACACAAAAGAAAGAGAAAAATTACATCGCCCAGAATTTCATACTAATTCAGTACCAACTAACTCGCTTGCTAAATATATTATGTAGGATTCCCTACATACTTATATTTTATTTTTCATGATAAATAACTAGCAGGTCTACTCTTGAATTTAATATCAATATTAATCCAATCTACTGTCAATGACAACTTTGTATTGCACTTATGAAATTATAATACAATTAGAAATTAGATTACAATTGGGATCGATTTGCAATAATTTGTATTGGCGAGTTACACTAATATTCATCTATCAGAACAATATGAACTATTATGTTGCTAGTGTTGTAATTAGAGAGTGTGAAATTTCTCAATTCCAATATACATCTGTTGAAATTTCTTTCCAGAGTAACCCTACAAAAAAGCTGCAATTTAATTCATATTTCAATAACTTTTTATGACTCATGATTTTATTCATTTTAGAAGATGGTCTATCTGAATTTTATATGAATTTTCAGCTGTTAGAAATGCAGGCGCGGCGAGACTACCGCCGTTGCTTGAATTAATTTAGTTTAATTAGAATAGGTAGATGGTTGATAAATTACAAATTTTTATTTTTATATAGGTATGATCATACAACAACGCTTTTAAAGAAACTTACTTGTTTCTTAATTAATTAGTGAAATTTCAATGCAAACTCATAATATTTTAATGAGATTTCTTGTACTTAATTACTTGTTATTTTAATTATTTTAATCATGTTAATGATTCTGATAATGTAATTTCACTATCTACCATGTATAAAATTATGTAATAGCCTAACAGGTATATTACAAAATAATATAAGTGGTCTGGATGGTCGTCTAAGAAGAAAAAAAAGAAATTAGCTAAGATCATGGTAATATAATTTTAAATTGGTTCCTCAATATATTTATGAATATCTATACGTATACAAAATCGTGAGTTAAAATTTGTACACAAAATTTTGTATTTGGGTTTTCAGTTCTTTTCATCGTCAGTTTTATTTTTTATAAAAAATAATTTTGTAGATTTCTATTAATTCATTTCACATTTGGAACGACACCAATGAATAAACATACTATTACATCTATATTTTTATGGCGCACAGTTGGTTAACAAATATTTTTCGCTTAAGGAACTAGGTACCTAACTAAGTAAGGTTGGTAGGGAAACAAAAATTCCATACAATACGTTGACCTGGCGTATTTCCATATTGATGTGAACAACTGGTTACAGTGATTGATCACAGTGAACTATAGGACACTTCCCGTTGACCTAGCATCTTGAACTTTATATGTAGGAACTTCATATATGATAGGGAAGTGAGTTATTTTTAATTTCAAGTATTTATGGATACTCGATAAATTTGATGTATACCTTAATCTTTAATATATTTGTAAATTAAGCACGGTACAATACATGGTCTTTTTAAATAGGACTTATTGAAAATCTAAACAAACGAATAACTAACGACTATAAGTCAGTTCTTATTTTATGGATATGGATGATGATGGAATGGTAACACCGCTTGCGGTGTACGCTAGCGGGGCACCAGTGAGGGATAATAAGTGAGAATGAAAGCAGGTTAGTTAGCCCATCGTATCGAATCCCACTGGAAATAACCACGATGGTTATAACTGTAGTCGAGTAGTAGTCGCCAATGAAATTCGAGTAATTGATTGATTGAATGTTTCGATTTGTTACTAGTTGCAAAGGGTTAGTATTTCTGTGATAAATTCAACAAAAAATAGTTACCTGTTTATTAAGTCTTATTGAAACCGACTATGTATACCTAATAACAATAAAACTGAATTAAATTAAGTATGTGATGGTGTAGTTAATTTAATTTAATTTACGAATAAATAACAAAAATGAAAGTGTAAAGAAAACATCAAATGTACGTTGAAATTAAAAATAATTGATATCGATTTTTCAGACTATCATATAATTTTATCATCACGGTATAATAGAAGAGCAATTACTATTCAAGAAAATCATTTCCGTTGTAGTGCTTATTACAGTAGACAAATATAGGTACTAATATTTGTCTTTATATAAGTTGATATATATGTATGTATTATTGATTTGTATCCATTTATGTAAGTATATTATAATAAGTATTTTATTATTTTTATGTGTAAATATATTATTATTTATATTATTTATACTGCGTTTAAATTTATCT